TTGTGGTCTTCAAAGTAACTTTTCTTCTGCTGGGTCTTGTCTCTTGCAGAGTTCGCCGGACCTGCTTTTTGTGAGACTAATTTGAGTTCAGCTGTCTCATCTTGTGATCTTAGTGTTGATGGTTATCTTCCTTTAATTTGTAAAGACTCCAATAGTCACATGCTTAATCTGGGGCATTTGCATTCGTAAGAATTCACACATTTTTTGGGAAACTAGATTTGAATGCACAGACTATTCTTTTATGTGCTTTCGTTTGGCACCGCATCACTATCGCTTTTCTCTTTGTTTTATATCGCTCTCCTTTATCTGAAGGCTGCACTCTTTTTGATGTTATTTCTGATCATATTGATTAAGCCCTCTCTCTTTATCCATTAGCTAATATCGTTGTTGTTGGTGACTTTAATGCTCATCACACTGAATTGCTTAGCTTTAAGCCCGTTCTCCATTCAGAACTTTTTGCGCTTTGGAGAAGCGGAAAAGTTCTTTGAGCATGCGCAAACAGTTTTTTTAAACCCGTTTTCCAATCAGAATTTTTTGCGCATGCTCAAAGAACTCTTCCGTTCCTCCTAAGCGCAAATAGTTCTGAATGGAGAACAAGCTTTAGTGTCAGTGACTCTGCCGGCATTAAGGCCCACAACTTTTATCTTTCTCAATCTCTAACTTAAATTATCAACTTTTCCAACTTGTTTTCCAGAATCATTTTCACTCGAATTATCATTTTCACTCAAATTATCAACTTTTCCAACTTGTTTTTCAGAATCATGCGAAAGTGGTGTAGTGGTAGAGCGCTTGCTTCATAAGCGAAAGGTTTCGAGTTCAATTCCCACCACATCCCTGGTAGTACCGCGCTCAACTCGTTTTTCCGTGCAGCGGCCTTGTTCGTCAAGGTTTGTGTTTCGGAGTTATAGAGTTGAGAGAGGGTTATATAATCACAAATAAGTAGCCTCCTCATCTGTAGTGGCTTTCTCAGCCTTGAGGAGGTGAATTAACAAAAAAAAAAAAAAAAAAATTTACCTTCTCTACTCGACTTATGTCTTGTTTCTGGTCCTAGTCAATGCTCAGTTTCTCCACATTCACCCTTAGGTGCCTCTGATCACAGTTTGATCTCTCTAAAACTATTATCTCATTCTTCTTCATCATCAGAATAATAGGGGGACTATTATTGTACCTCTTACAACTACCTTAAAACTGAGTGGGACTCTTTATGTGATTTTCTTTGTGAAGCCTTTGGGTAGAAGTCTTTTGTCTTCCTGCTGATAAATGTTCTTCTTGCATAACTTCTTGGATTCAGGCTGGCATGGAATCTTTTATTCCGTCTCAATGATTCCAAGTCAAGCCTCACTCTTCTCCATGGTTTTACTCATATTGTGCTGCTGCAATTTCCAATCAAAACCAATACTTCCATATCTATCAGCAAAATTCACCAGAAAACAGAAGTCTGTTTACTATTGCTAGAAACCATTGTAAAAAGGTTTTGTCTAACGCCAAAGCTCGCTATTCTTAGGTCATGAAATCTTGTATTTCATCTCAAAAATTAGGTTCTTGTGACTTCTGAAGAATCTTTAACAGTATCAATAAGGGCAAATCTGTTATTCCACCTCTCTTGTACAAATTAGACTTTGTCACCTCACCTAGAGACAAAGCGGAATTGTTTGCTAAAAACTTTTTATCATTATCATCTCTTGATTCCACTAGATGTGTTCTACCTGATATTGCTGAAAAACAGGTTGATTCATTAGTTGACATTTGTATCACTCCAGCTTCTGTATCAAAAGTGATTTCCTGCTTAGACTCTTCTACAGCTTGTGGTCTGGACAACATACCTGTTATAGTCTTGCAGAAGTGTACTCCGGAACTGTCGTCTATACTTTTAAAACTATTTAACAAGTGCTTACCAGAGTCTTGTTTTCTGGCATGCTGGAAAGCTGCATCTGTTATCTCTATTTTAAAAAATTCTGGAGAGTGAATTGACTAGTTAAACTACCATCCCATTAATCTACTTATCATAAGTAAGGTTTTTGAATCTTTAATTAACAAACACTTAATCTCTCATCTTGAATCTAATAACTTACTTTCTGATCATCAATATGGATTTCAATCTTCTCGTTTCTACTGCCGATTTCTACCCGTCGGTTTTACAGTCAGTTTGCCAACAGTAATAACTGTTTTATTGTAATCTTATTGTAATTTTATTGTAAGGTGGAGAGGTTAAGGTTATTGCTCTTGACATATCTAAAGCTTTTGATAAAGTTTAGCATGCTGGTCTTCTCCATAAGTTTTCTTCTTAGGATGTATCAGGTAACATCTTTAAGATTATTGAATCCTTCCTTTCGAATTGTAGTATAAAAGTTGTCCTCGATAGACAGCACTCTTCTTCTTATTCTGTGACCTCAGGGGTTCCTCAGGGTTCAATCCTTGGCCCTATACTCTTTTTAATTTACATTAATGATTTTCCAGATATCCTCACATCTAAGGTGGCATTGTTTGCTGATGATGCTGCCATTTATTTTTGTCTTGATAAGAAGTCTACACTCTCTGATTGCTTAGGGGGCATTTGAGCTTTAAAAGGATCTTATTTCTGCTACAGCATGGGGTTCAAAGTGAACCCCATGCTGTAAAGCGGGTGAACTTTAATTCAGATAAAACCCAATTTTTTTCAGCCAATTGTTACCGCAATAATTTAGATCTTCCATATTTATGAGTGGTGATCTACTCTTAACCTTTTAGGATTAATTCTTACTTCTGATTCTTCTTGGAAACCATATATCAAATCCATTGCAAAATTAGCATCTGCTAAGGTTCTATCTCTTTATCGTGGTTGCCACTTTCTTACTCCAGATTCTATTCTTTATCTCTATCTAATCTCAAATCCTTCCTTGTATGGAATATTGTTGCCATATCTGGGGTGGATCTTCCAATGATGCACTTTCTCTTTTAGATAAGGTGCAAAAATGCATTGTAAACATAGTTTGACCTGCTTTTGCAACCAACCTCCAACCATTTTCCTGTTTTACCTACGTAAAATTTGGAACAGTTGCATTTTATTATATAGGTGTTCCAGGCTGGCTGTCACAGTTAGTTTTGATTTGTTTTTTGCTGTTAATAAAGATCTTAAATTTGGGTTTGGTTTAAATACTGCTCTGTATCCTGCTTTTCGGAATATTTTACAAAGTTTTGGTGAAAGGCCTGGTACCCAAAGTTAAGACACTACAGGAAAACTATTGCATTCTGATGGAATTATGTTTTTCATTTTATCTTTTTTTATAAAATTGGTGTGTAATACTTCTCAATTGCTTTTCATTGTACCTTTTCAATATATGTATATATGTATATATATATATATATATATATATATATATATATATATATATATATATATATATATATATATATATATATATATATATATGTATATGCTTTAAAAAAAGTAGCTTATGATTTTAATTAAAGTAATATCAAAAGTTGTATCAAGTTTTATTTATATTATTTAATTAAATAAATTTTTAAGTAAAATAAAAAAAGTAAAAATAGATTTTAATTTTATAAGCAACAACTTTAAACAGCGATGGTCTCTTTAATAAACTTTTTATAAAAATCATTAAAGTTAATCACTCAAAAAGTAGAATGTTTTTGTTGAGAAAAATAAAAAAGACAAACTTTTTTGAAAGCTGTTTAAATTAAATAATGATCATTACTTATGTTTTTATAATATTGAAACTTTAAATTAAGTAACCAATCACTGCTAATGATTTTTTATAAAAATATTTATGAATAATATACATATTTTATATTTATGTAAGTATACAGGCCTCGGCGGGAAGCGAGAGCTTTAGCTCCCCTAAAACAGTTTATGGGTGCAATTTATGGCTCTCGCAAAAGTATAATTTTTCTCAAAAATATAATTATCAATTTAACTAAAATAAAAAACACAGTCATTTTAATAAATATTTTTAATAATTCTTAAAATGCCTGCATTCTATTGCAATAAGAAAATATAAAGCTTTTTTTATAGGCAGTAAAAAAATATTTGTCTGAAAAAAATTTTCATGCTGCAAGTCTACGAACATGCTAACTTTTGTTAAAAATAAACGTCATGTTTCTATATTTTTGCATATGCAAATGATGGGGTTCGCTTAAAATTTTTAAAAACACATGCTTTACTTCAGTAATTTTTTTTCTATATAATTATGCAATTGATAGTTTTTTATTTATTATAAAAAACACTTATTTATAATAAAAAACAATTAGTTAATAAAATTTAAAACACATTTTAAAGACTTTATTTTCTGATTATAGTTTATAATTTATTTTAGTTAAGTTGTATTGGATCGTACCTAAGGGAGGAAGGTTTTGTTTACTAGTGTGACTGTCACCTTTATTTCTAAAAAATTGGTTGTTTATTTTAAAATTTATTTTAGTTAAGTTTTAATTTAATTTTTTTTAATTTAAGTTTCAGTTAAGTTGTTTTTATTTTATCTTTCATTATTTTTTTTATGAAGTTTTATTTGCTTCATTACGATAATTTTTTTTTCAAGTTTCTTCATAGTTGAAATAACTTTTTAGGCGCAATTTTAAAATGTATACAAATTTTCAAAACATATCACCAGCTGTGGTCAAGTTTTAAAATCAAATAGTATTTGCGTGGTCATATTATGACGTGAAATCACATGCCTTCCTAGCCAAGCCTATATATATATATATATATATATATATATATATATATATATATATATATATATATATATATATATATATATATATATATATATATATATATATATATATATATATATAATATATACATAAATGTATACATATATATATATATATATATATATATATATATATATATATATATATATATATATATATATATATATATATAAATGTATATATATATATATAAATGTATATATATATATGTATATATATATATATATATATATATATATATATATATATATATATATATAAATTATATATATAATTTTTTTTTTTAGGTTTGTTTATGATAACAGACGATGTATGTTGTATTATTATAGGAAACCTCAGGACTCGGAACCTCTTGGGTAGGTTCACAAATTTCAATTATTAAGCTTTATTTGTTTTTAATTGTTTATTTTTTAAATGGTTGCTTTTAGTAAGTCTTTTCAGTTATTTTATTTCATTACAAAACTTTAAAAATTGCAGATGTATTGATATCTCGATTTGCACATTTTCATATTCTGCTGATGAGAAATCTCTTTTTCAAATAAGGTGAATCATTTTATGTTTTTTTAAGTTATTTTTTGTGAAAAATGTAAATTTATAATACTATAAAATAAAGAATGTTTCTAAGTTTGACTTTTAACTGTATAATTTACAAAATTTAATTTATTTTTTTATTTTGAAATTGAAGACATCAAAAATTCTTACAAATAATAATTATTCCATTATCCAACATTTACTCTCTATACTATATATTATCTATTAATTGCTCAATTTCAAAAAAGTTTTTTTAATGTTTGTAGTGATGCTTTTTTATTTTTCTAATTAGGGTTGCCTTATTTTTTGGCTTGTCATTTTTAGGTTACAAAGCAAAATCTGTCAGTCAAGCCAAAATTGTCAAATCACAAATATTATTTACAAATGCACAACAACTACACCAAACACGCTCAGTTAAACATCCATTAGTTTGTCTGAGTGTGTTTGGGAAAATAAGTGAACAAATCACAAACAATCATTTAAAAATAAAAATCAAAGATTAAGTCGAATGGAACAATCTAGTCTTATTTACTATGTTCAATTTGAACAAAATAGTCTCATATAAGATTTTTTGTATATAAATATTTTTAACAGAAAAAAAAAATTACATTTTAACTGATAATTGCAAATAACATAAAGCTGATAGTATATATATATATATATATATATATATATATATATATATATATATATAGAGAGAGAGAGAGAGAGAGAGAGAGAGAGGCAATTCCGCAAGAGTGACATTTGCAACATTTGACACTCATTAATCGATTAAAAATGAACCAAGTTTGGAAATGACTTAAAACTTCCCAGAAATGCAAAATACTATTTAGTTTAATTTATTTTAATTTAGCAAAAATCACAGCATTTAAGTCTTAAACTTTTTTCAAAAATTAACTTTACTTAGCGTAACGTTTACTTTTTGCCACTTTTGAACAAAAAAACTTTTGAACAAAAAACTTTGTCAGACTTAATGCAAGGTTTCTTGCAGCCTTGTTAGAAGTGAAGAAAAAAAAAATGGCATTGCTTTTTAAAAGAAATGGTTGTTGCAAAAAAATAATAATAATAATTGATAAAAAATAAAGTAATTTAACTGATAAAATATAAAGTTATTACACTCTAAATCATTGCATAATAATTTTTATTTTATGTAATAAATTATATATTTTATACAATAGTTACCTAAATATATTATTCACTTTTATTGTGGATTTTTTAATTGCTGTAATAATTCTTAAAATGCCTGCATTCTGCAGTTGTGGCCTAAATACTTAGACTGCCCTAAAAAATATACCAAAAGTATAGAAAAAACACTTTTTATTCATACACAGAGTTTAAATAAATACAAAAATCTATTAATTCATATTTAGTTAAATGTTCTTTGTTTTTAAGCATCAATTTGAACTTGTTTTGGCATAGAATTGACTAGTTTTTGACAAAGTTCTTTGGTACACCAAACTTGTGTAATCTAGTTGACTTAATCTTGCATTGTGTGTGGTGCATGTGTAATTCAGTTGACTTAATCTTGCATTGTGTGTGGTGCATGTGTAATCCAGTTGACTTAATCTTGCATTGTGTGTGGTGCATGTGTAATCCAGTTGACTTAATCTTGCATTGTGTGTGGTGCATGTGTAATCCAGTTGACTTAATCTTGCATTGTGTGTGGTGCATGTGTAATCCAGTTGACTTAATCTTGCATTGTGCATGCACTTGCTCCTCATGATTGTTTGCAAAATTTCTATTGGATTTAAATCTGGTGAATTCCCAGGCTAATCCAGCACATTGAAGAACCATCCTTATGATACTGTACTTTTAATGCATGTTTATTAGTTGAAACAGGTTTTTTTTTCCCCATTCTACATTGAGATAAAGTAATTAATATTAAAAAACTCAACAAATAATATAAAAAATTACAAGATATTGCATTAAAAATATTAATAAAAGACTAGTAAAATAGCAAAAAATTTTATTATTGCTCAATTCGCCTCATAGCAACAGCTATCCGATACCTCCTAAGAATTATTTTTACATAATTAATAAACTAGGTCAATATAAAGAGTTAAAAAGTTGCAAAAATAGCTTAAAATCTGGCTGGCTAAAGTATTTTGGCCACAGCTGTGTTACAATAAGAAAGTATAAAACATTTTTATAAAAACTTTTATAACTCTTTGTCAAATTTATCAAATAAGTAATGTTGTTAATAAATAAATTTTTTATCAAATAAGTAATGTTAATAAATAAATTTTTTATCAAATAAGTAATGTTGTTAATAAATGGTTAACTTGTGTGGAAACCTAAAGACAACGCTTTATTTTTACATTAGATAATATTGTTTTGTTCTTTAGGACTCATCAGTAATGTTCTGATTTTATGGGACTAAGTCTTAGCAATAAAATAAAAAATTAATTTAAAGCAATTTAAAAGATTTATTTTGTCATGCCAAAGTGCTCAAACTACAAAGTAGTGACTCAACATTACCTTTGTTACCAGCATTACATCATAATGCTGGTAATATATATATATATATATATATATATATATATATATATATATATATATATATATATATATATATATATATATATATATATATATATATATATATATATATATGTATAAATAAATTATTTGATGTGAAAACTGACGTTTGATCTCATTGCAACACAAATTTCTATTTTTATAATGGTTTTTATTTTAAGGATTTTAAATAAAATGGCTGAATGATGCTGAATAGCATAAAACTTAAACTACCTTAAAAAAAGTTGTATTTTTTTAAGTTTAAATATTTTAATATATATATGTATATATATATATATATATATATATATATATATATATATATATATATATATATATATATATATATATATATATATATATATATATATATATATATATATATATATATAGTCTTGGAAAAAAGTTTAAGACCACTTGCGAAAAACTGAAAATTTAATGAAAAAAATTATTACAGTTTAAAATATAATTTGGCAATTATTTTTTGATTATTTAATAAAAATTGGGAAATTGTGTTAACTAGCTATGGTTGTCAAATAAAAACTTATACACGCTTAATTTTATTTTAGGCACTAATATATAGCATTTATACGTGGTGGTCTTAAACTTTTTTCTAAGACTGTATATATATATATATATATATATATATATATATATATATATATATATATATATATATATATATATATATATATATATATATATATATATATGTATATATATATATATATATATATATATATATATATATATATATATATATATATATATATATATGTATATATATATATATATATATATATATATATATATGTATATATATATATATATATATATATATATATATATATATATATATATATATATATATATATATATATATATATATATATATATATATATATATAAAGAATAATGGAAAAAATGATTGCTGTCCCAACCCAAACCCAATTTGATGTAGAGGTAATTGTTTGCATGTTCTACTTAAATTGTCAGGTAAATATAATATATAGGTAATAATATACATATACATATATACATATATATAATATATATATATATATATATATATATATATTATATATATATATATATATATATATATGTATATATATATATATATATACATATACATATATACATATATACATATATACATATATACATATATATATATATATATATATATATATATATATATATATATATATATATATATATATATATATATATATATATATATATATATATATATATATATATATATATAGATAGATAGATATATATATATATATATAGATATATATGTATAAATATATATATATATATATGTATATATGTATATTATTATTACCTATATATTATATTTACCTGACAATTTAAGTAGAACATGCAAACAATTACCTCTACATCAAAAATTACTCTAATTTACCTCTACATCAAATTGGATTTGGGTTGGGGCAGCAATTATTTTTTCCATTATTCTTTATTCTTTTGGAGAAAAACAAAGAATAATGAAAGAGTATCTGGTTATAAAGAAATGAGAACTTGTTTAAAACTTAATAAAGTTATACCTTCATATGTCATATTTAAATAAGAAAATGTCATTATGGAAACCTGTTTAAACTACACAAAGGCGGAACTATGGATGTTAAACATCAAAATGTATGTATATTTATATATATCAGTTGTTGTTTTTGACATAAATCAGTTGTTTTAATTTTACAGCTCAAATGACAGAACATACCATTTGCAAGCAGAAAACAGAAATGCCATGATGTTTTGGCTTCAAGAATTGCAAGTAAGTTACAAGATTATAACATATAAGTAATTTGTAGTATTACATATTAATTAAATATAATGTAATTTAAAATATTTTTAAAAATCTTTCTTTGTTTTAAAGGCAAGGAGAAGAGAGTTCAACAGTCAACAAAAGACTTCACAAATCACAAGTTCCGTATGAATTTTATCAATTTCGTTTTACTACAGTCTTGGAAAAAAGTTTGACTACTTAAACTACTACGAAAAACTGAAAATTTAATGAAAAAATTATTACAGTACAAAAAAATAATTGGAAAATTATTTTTTAAACTTTTTTCCAAGACTGTAGGATTAGTACCTTAAAATAAAATATTTACTTTTTAAAATAATGTAAGAGTTTTTGTAAATAAGGTTTTTAATAGTGTTCTAAAAGTAATACTTTAAAACAAGATAATGAAAACTAACATTTATAGTACTATTGTATTTTTTTTTTTTTTTTTTTCAACTTATTTTCTCTGCGCAGCGGTCTTTCTTTGTCAAGGTTTGTGTTTCGGAGTTAAAGAGTTGAGAGAGGGTTGTACCACAATTTACAACAACAACAACAACAAAAAAAAAAAAACAAAACAAAACAAAACAAAAAAAAATGAGTGGCCTCCTCGACTGTAGTGGTCCCCTTGGACCTTGGAGAGGTGAATAATTAAAAAGAAAAAAAAACTTTAAATAGAGAATAAGTTAAAATACTAGGAAATGGTTAACTGAAGACTGAGAAATTTTGTAGGTTGTATAAAAAAGGAAAACATGAGTTTTTTTGGTGTGCAAGAAAAAAACTGGATTAATAAAAGTTTTTATAGCATGAAGGGACAGATACAGTAAATAGATGCAACTTGTTGAATAAGAAGCCAAGCAAGAATGAGTTTTGTTTTATCATAATAGTATTTATGTATGTTTTATCGTAATAGTTTTATCTCTATTACCTTGCTCGTTAATGCTTGTTTGAGCATTGACCATGATAGTATTTGTAAAAAAAAAATGAAATGCAGCCTTACAACAATGGGAGAGTGGCTCAAGCTTGGCAGATAAAGCAGGTCTGAATACATTTACAATGTGCTTTTAGACTTTGTCTGAGAGTAAGAGGGTTGTTATTCATCAATATAAGAATGCCAACATTATTGCAATATTTTTTTGAAGTAAATAAATAAGTTTTGTTGTCTAACAAAAATTGTGTATTTTAAGATTTTAAATTCATCAGCCACTGCAAGCCTTAGGCTGTTACAGAAGAGAAACATATAATCTCTACTTTTTGATTGCTTAGATTAATTTCTTAAATTAATTTCTTAGAAGAGAGATCAGATTAAAAATCAGCTGCTTGTTCTAGGCTAACTGACTAGGCTAATCAAAAAGTGAAGATTTTTTGTCAAAACAAGAGTATAAAGTCGAGCGTCAACAAATAGAGCTACTTTAGATGTTAAATTTTCATTTAGATCGATGTTGTAGATAAGAAACAATAAAGGAGCAAAGATAGAACTTTGTAGTACTCTTAGTTAATATAGTTAATAGTTAGTACCCTTAGAACTTAGTTGTACCCTTAAAGTTACTTAAAATAAAGAAGAGTGTAGGCTTTTAAGAATAACTTTAATATTGCAGTTAGAAAGAAAGAAATTGATCTCAAAACCTTTATATAAAGAAACTAATGAGTGAAGACTATTTGTAGTATAGTTGGAGAGTTATAGATAGTTGGAGTGTTTTCTAGAGTTTTGAAAAATTGGAACCACTTATTTAGCACTTTTTAAAAATTTAGCAAAAATGAAGAGAGTTCTGGAAAACACTTTTTTAAGTATGAAAATCTTGTCTGGAGCACAAACTGTAGAAGTATTCAATTGAGAATTAACTTTTGTATTGAAAGTTAGAGTGATTTGGGTGTTTAATAATGGGCTAATCTGTTTAACTGGCAGGAAGAGTATGGCCAATAGATTTAAGAGTAAAATTAGAGTAAAATTTCTTAATAGCTTTAACTTTATTCTGGGGAAAAGTAAAAATAATCAGACCAATTAGGTTAAATGTTAGACTTACTTCAGTTAATGACATTGTTGACTTACCAAAAGTCTCCAGAACACTTGAGATAAGAAACTAGATTTAGTAAACTGAGAATTAACAAAAAGCTTAACAAGTCTACTTGTGTAGATTTTAATTAGATTTTTATTTTAAAGGAATAAATAAAGATATAATGTTGGTTTGTATCTGTGATTCATCATTTATTTCTATAACATTTATTGTTTGCTTTGTTATTGTTCACCATTTACTTTAATCTATAATTCATTCTAGTATTCTATTTTAAATAATAATAAGAAATAAAGTTTAAAAGTTTCTCAAAATTTTTTATTTCACAAATTTGTCACATAATTATTCAATTACAGGTACTAATAAAAAAATTTAATAGTGTTTTTGAGTTTAAAATAGAAAATGGAACCACTGCTCAACCGTTTATAATTAAAAATTGTTTTATTTTCAGAAAAATTCCTGCGGTCTGTTAGCAGATTTGCAAGTAGATGCTTTAAATGGTAAGTTAAATAAAGATTTTTCAGGCAGTTCTAAAAGTTTTTATGATTACTACAAATTGCTTTTAGTACATTGTAAAATTAATTTGAGATTTTACTCAAACATTTTATAAGACAACACCAGCACTGAATTAATCGAACCTGTTCAAAAACCAGCTACAGTTGGAGATCACACAGCTTTGCAAAAATTTGATGGAGGTAGCATTTCTTGGAATCTTTCATTCACAAACTTGAACAAGGAGTTTAAAAACTGGAGGTTTTTATTTATTATTTTAAAAAGTTTTCTTTGATTTTATTATTTTGTAGTATTTAAAACCCTTAGTTTTTCAAGAATTCATTTTGCAATATATAATATTTAAAATCTTTTAGAATTTTTTATATAAATATATGATGAGAGTTATAGTTAACTAATTTTTTAGATGACCAATATTAATATTTAACTAACTTTTTAGATGACTAAAATTGTGAACTAACTTTTTAGTTAGGAAAAAATCTCCTTGATTTCAGTTTTTTTTTTTTTTTTAATGTAAGTTCACCTCTCATTTATGAAGCGAGTGGTTTACCACTACACCACTACCACACATTATCAAAATTTTATAAATCTACTTCTTTAAAGCGTTTTTTGTTTATAAATTTCAAATTTCCACTTTTTTTAAAAATAAATGTATAAAAATAAAACAATATACTAAATAATATATATTTAGTTTATTTTTATTCTATATATTATTTGGTTTATAAAATCATTTTTTAAATATGGTTTAACATTCATTTTCTAATAGTTGAACTTGATTTTAAATTAAAGAGTTTAATTACTAAGTTAAATATATGAGTTGCTGTGGTTTAGAATTTTTACGTATTATTTCTGATCTATTGTTTAGTTTATCTGTGAAACAGAAATTTTTCTTTTTCACAGATAAACTAAACAATAGATCAGAAATGATACGTTTTATGGTACTTTGTTTAACAATTTTATTTGGTAACTTTTAACAGAAGTACGGTCTTCATTATATACTCTAAATTTTTTTAAAAAGTCTAAAAGATTGAAATAACACAGCACAAATTTAGTAAGTAAAAATAATAAGCATGGCTACGACAAAAAAAAACTTATCTTAAATATATGGAAGGTTGTGATGATTTATCCAATTTAAGTTCTGATGATATTTCTTCTAATGAAGGATCAATAAAATCTGTGACAGAAAATGAAATTACAATCTCAATTGATAAAAAATGATGAAAAAGACATGACATTGTTGACATTGGATTTATGCCATTAGCAAAAATTATTTTAGACAACAAACGAAATGGAATTAAACCAAATGTTGATAGTTATATAGCTAATTCTGTAAATTTTAACAGGAACCAAGGACCTCACCCAAGTTTTGTTGATAGTTACCCTCTTACTTTATTTAAAGTTTTTTTAACTGGCTTGTTGATCTGATTGTAGAGCAAATTAACATTTTTGCAGCAAAAAAAGTGAACTCAAAGATCTAAAGGTAAATTTAAACATAGAGATCAGAAATGGTTAAAGTTACTGGAAGAGAAATGATGAAATTAAGAAGCAAGATAACAATTAACAGACAAATTAAAAGGTTGCAAATTTTAATCAGAAAAACAAGACAAAAGAATAGTATATTAATTTCAAAAAACTAATGTTCAAGGAAAAAAACTAGTCAAAAAAGAATTTGTGGAGCACTTAGAAACAGTAAAAGAACGAGACTCTATTGAATGACAAGTAATGCGAAAATGAAATTTAGTAGATGGAACAAGAGACACTAGCTCTTTAGAGAGCAATAAATTTAGCACCCATTTATAGTAAAACAAAAGAAGCAACATTATAACAATGTAACAATGGTTTAAGGATGGCTGCAAGAGCAGGTCCAAATATGTTTACAATGCATTTTTGCATTGTAAATATAGTCATTGAAAATCTCTTCCAGATATGAAAAAGTATTCCATACAAGGGTGGATCAAAGATTAACATAAATACAGAATAGAAACCAGATTGAGAAAGTGGTGAGCACAATAAAGAGATGCAACCTTAGCAGATGCTAATTTTGCAATGGATTAGATATATGTTTTCCAAGAAAGATCAGAAGTAAGACTTAATCCTACAAGACAAAGAATAGATAACTCATCAAATACATTACCGTTCATAAATAAAGCAAGATCTAGATTATTGTAATAACCAATTAGCTTAAAAAAGATAGAACCTTGAAGAACGTCTGAAGTTACAGTAAATGAAGAAGAATGTTGTCCATCAAGGACAAATTTTATACTATGATTGGTAAGGAAAGATAAAAAGAAATCTAAGAATCCTAAAATCGGTGATATTTTAGTGCAATACGATACAAAAACAAATATAATGTGTATAATATAGTCATGGTTAAATATGCTGGTGAAGAAAAAAAAAATCCTCTAGTAATACATAAATATAACAGAAACCTGGGTGATATTGACTAATCTGACCAAACGTTGACAACCTACGAATCTGAAAGAAAAAGATGGTATATAAAGATTCTCATGCACCTAATTAGTGCTTGTGCATTCAATGCAAATATTATAAAGAACAAGTTATCATCTAATATAAATATCAAAAAGTATCAAACCTAGTAAAAGATGTGTTGAATGTTCTGAAAACAAAGTAATATCAGAGGCAAGGTTATATCTATGGTTCATAATGTTGTTTTGTGTGTTGTGCCTTGTTTCATATTTTATCATACTGAAGAAAATTTTAAAGGTGTTTGTAAATAATTTTTATTGTCAATATATTTTTTAAATCTATGTTTTATGTTTAAATTGCCTGCAAATTTGGTTCCTCATAAACATTTCTATATAGAGATATAGAAATGTGCAAAATGAACTTTTTTTAATATTGTTTTTTTTTTTTTTTTTTTTTATTAAAAAAAAACTGTTTACAATTTACAGTGAAATAAACGAAAAAGAATAAGCAATTTGAAATAATCCGAAACAAATATATTTTGTTGTAATAGAGAATGTCATTTTTAAATCTTAACTGTGGCTTGTTTTGGGGTTAAAAACATTTTGCTGTTATCCTTTTTTTACTTATCATTCAAGTAATATCATTATCATGGGTCCGACATTTTAAATATTTTTTTCAACTTTCAAAAAGTTAAAAAATTTTGTAATTGGAATGGGTCATTCCATATCAAATCTGCAGCCCCATGTCACCCCATGTTTTTGATTTTTCTAGTTTTTATATATGTTAAGGATTTGAATCTGAAAGTTGGAATCTCTATGGTTCTTGAAATATTCACATTTAAGTTTTCTTATTTATCCTGACTGCAACATACTTTTTTGTCATAAAATAATTTTTTTGTCATATTATTTAATGTTATATTTTAAATATAATTGAAAACTAACATAATTTTTTTTTTATAAATTATTGTTTATTTTGTTTAATGGTTTTTGGCTCATTTTTGAAATTACTTATACATGACTATTTGTTTCAAATGGGGATATGTAAATGATAATATAAAACATGGTTTGATAACAAAAAACAAATATTTACAGCATTATTAAATCTAAACAGCAGTAATGAAATCATTGTGAGGTAATAAAAATCAAATGGCAAAGGTATTTATAAAACTCTTCCAACTTCCAATGAGAAACTGAACTAAAACCAAAGTCAGAGACAAGACACAAAGGAGTGAAGGTAAATGATTAGAATTGCCTGGAAAAAGCCAGTGACCCTGCATTGCCTGCAGGGTTAGTGGTGAGAGAGGTAAAGAGAAATCAGTTTGGTCAATTCACTTAGTAGTTGCATCTAAAATAGCACAGCAAATAGTACCAGAGAGGTGCCAAATGAGAGCAAATAAAGGGATAGTCAGTGGATTCAAACCTGATTTCAAAGCAGATAAGTGAGTTGATGTGTTAATATATGCCAGGCCATAACTAGTGTGTAACTATTTGAGTCTTTGTGTACCAAACAGCTAAATTTAAATAAGTCTCATCAGAATTTGGTGAGTTAAATTTTTAATTATTATATAAATATTTGTAAAAGATAGATTGAAACAATTAGATGATGTCGTGATGGTGTTATATGTATAATATTTTTAAGTAATTCACTCATGTTTTAAGTGCATGGCACCCCATGCAATTAGTTATGCAATTAATTAACCCATGATTCGTAACAACTTAGCTGGCATATGACTAGCCTAGGACTAAATGCTGGCTGGGAAAAAGCTGCTTATGTGACCTAAATAATGCACATCATGGCTATTTTGATACTCTGATACTTTTCAGCTGTAAAATGAAATCAGTCTCTTAGAGAATTTGGGAAACCTTACTACCAGCTGGCTTTGGAACCATTAAACTGAGTTTTAGACAGGGCTGTGAAGTCAGAGTTGTGCAGTTGCAACATTTTTAGCAGAGTTGAAGTTGCTAAATAAAAGAGGAGTCAGAGTAGAGTCGTACTCTTAAAATTTTAACAATTGGATTCAGCGTCTATATATTTTTTTTTTTTTACAACTCCACACCCCTGGTTTTAGAGCTCTACCCTCATTAGGAGATTACAGGAAAAGTTCCATAACCATAATTAAGGAGGCACAAGCAAAAATTTATGAATAGATTCAAGAAGGCCATCCTAGGCAGTAAAAATGTTATAGGGTTATATCTACGCCAGCTAAATAGTTGAAAAAGATGGTGCAAGGCTGGTCAACAGAATTATTCTGGTTACCCCTAAAGTCTTTGTCTGGGAGGCTTTCTACAAGGCAGTAACTGTATGCAGTTAAAATCTGTCCTAGATGAACATTTTTATTAATTACCATCTTATTACCATTTTTAGCCATTACTCTATCAAGAACCAGAATGCAAAAGTATTTTAAATCAGAGTTTACTTTTCCTAACCTTTGCCTAAATAAGCCAATCCTAAAAGGCAGCAGAATTTGGGGCAGGTTGTACTGGATTATATGTTGCCAGTAGCAAGGTGATCATAATGATCCTGAACCTGACCTGACCTGAAACTTATTTTTAACATTATTGTTATCAAGACATGAATACCATTTTGACTTTTTAGACTTTTGACTTTTTTGAACTTCAATCTTGTTTCTGTGATTCTGTTACTTTTTTTTTGTTTTTTGCTTTTTAAATTGAGAAAAAAAAAATTGATTCAAAAAATAATTTTAAAAAATTGTTTAATGTTCAACAACATTTGAAGGGCTTAGTGCTAAAAGTACTCAATTCACCAAATAAATGTTTTGAGAAAGTCTACTTTGATCAGCCATTTTAAATCCTTATTGAATTCTTAAATCTTTAACACTTAATATAATATATATTTAATATAAAAAATAAATTCTTTAACATTTGATCATTTTAAATCCTCATTTTAAATTGTTATATCTCTGATCAAAGTAGATTTTTTTACAGGTTTTGTGACTTAAGATACTTTTAGCACTAAGTTTAAGTACTTTGTGGGTTTAATAAAAATTTAATAAAGTCAAAACATTTATTTTGTGATTTAAGTATTTTTAGCACTAAGCCCTTTATTTTAACTTAAAAATTGTTCACATTAAATATATTAGTACAAACTTTATATCTACTATATAATATAGATACTATATATCCATAACATAAACATTTTTTAGTGGTTATCTTTTTTATTATTGTAGAAGGTCAGCTTATAATACAGTCCAACAAGCTTCAATATCTGAAAAAAGGTAAACACTTTTTAAAAAAATTGTATTTATTATATATCAATTTTTTACAGTGAGAAAGTAGCAGTAAAGTTATAATGTACCAATGTATCAAAACATTGTCATAAATAATAGCATTAAACAAAGATGGAGAAGATTTGTTGTTACTATCAAATTATTTCATAATTATCTTAATATTCGTGAGTATTAAAAAGAAGAAGAAAAAATGTTTTATTTTTATTAATAATGATAAAGGATTCTAAAAAGGAATTTTAAAACAATAGTTTTTTTTTTTTAAATAATTAATAATTTACAGTTACATCATACAATAACAATATAAACTGTAATAAAACATAGATTGACTGTGCTATATAGTTCAAAAAGTAATAATTTGAAATATAGTTAAGTTGTGAATGTGTATATTAAAGTTTTGCAATAATTTGTTGTTATTAAAATAGAAATTATTAGCTTGCAGTTTCTAGGGTGTGTTGAGACTTTTGGAGATCATTCAACTTAAATAAAAAAATTTTGGTTGTAAATATTGGTTGTTAAAATCAGTTGTTAAGATAAAGTTTTGTATTTTAAGGAACTGAAAAACAAGTTTTTTATACTTTTTTGACTTTTTTTCTTTTTCTTTTTACTAATTCACAACTAAAGCTTTTTAAATAAATTTGATAAATTGAAAAAAAAATTTCTTTCAGATAAGGTTTTAAACTTTTTATTTTCATTTCTTTTTAGTAATTCCAATTTAAAATTTTTCAAATAGTTTTGTTAAGTAACTAAAAAAGTATATTGATTATATATATTATATAAAGTGTATTGATTATATGTATTATTGAAGATTAAGTCTTTATTGAAGATTAAGTTTAGATGTAAAAGTCAGGTAAAAAATGCAGGTGTAAGAGTAAGGAAAAAAAGTGTGGATGTAAGAGTCAGAGAAAAATTGTGGGTGTAAGAGTCAGAGAAAAATTGTGGATGTAAGAGTCAGAAAAAAATTGTGGGTGTAAGAGTCAGGAAACAAATATAGATGTAAGGTCAGGAAACCATGTAGATGAACAAAACTTCTAAAACATCAATGTTTGAGAGAAAAAACTTGACTTATGAAAATCTTCAGAACATGAAAAAACAGTTACAATAAAAAGATGCATTTTTTTTGAACGACAAGTTACCAAGATTGTGTTTTTGTTGATTGAACAAGAAGTAGTTTGCTTGAGCACCAACTTTATAAGATTTGTCGAAAAGAGTATGAGACTTAACCTTATGATGGTGAGCTTAAGCTCTGCAGATTGAGCAGGTCCAAGAGTGTCTGCATTTAAGGTACAGAGGTACTAAGTTACAGAGTGTCTTCATTTAAAGACATAAAAATAGTAACACGTTTAACTAAAATATTTGCTTGATTATTTAAAAAATATTTTGAAAACAAGTCAATAAAAATTATAGTGCAGGAGATGTGTTATTGTCTTATAGTATATTTTGTTAGATTTATTTTTATCACTTTTAAATTTGTTTTTTTTTAGTTAAATTTATGTTTTGATTGATATATTTACTAATACTTTATATAATATTTAAATGTTTGATAAAAATATACTTTAAGTATATTTTTGACAGAAAGGTTACATAGTTTATGTGGTGATTTTCATGTGTTTTTTCAAGTTGTTTTTATTTAATTACTTGAAATTTTTTTTCTTTTCATTTGTTGAGTTTATAATAAAATAATATAATAAAAAAAGAGATTATATGTAAAAAAAAATTTAACAAAATCACATTTTAAAGTTTTTGTTAAAAAATTAAAAAAGACACATTTTTTGACATTTGTCTATAACTTGTCCCTAAATGTGCAACAGATTGTTTTTAGAATGTTTTTAAGTAATCTATATTTTGTTTTTAAGATTTTAAATTGTATAAATTTTGTTTTATATATAATTGTTATCTTAAGTTGTAACTTTGTCAACTTAAGGCTTTTAAATATATATTTTGTAATATTAATTTATTGTAATATTTATACTTGTAATATTAATTTATTGTGTTTTTACTTTAAACTTTAGTGTAAGCCCATCAGCAAGTAACCATAAAATTGCAACAGAATTTGAACCTTCTATATGTAAGTGAAATAAATTTATTTAAGTTTTTTAGTTATTTAGATTTCATATTACGCTGCAAATAGCACACTTGAAATATATATATATATATATATATATATATATATATATATATATATATATATATATATATATATATATATATATATATATATATATATATATATATATATATATATATATATATATATATATGGGCATTTCCATTTTTGTGCATGATTTTTTATTTTTCTTTGTTTTAGCAATTAAAAGCTGGGACTTTATACAATATGCATACTATTTTGATTTTCTTAAAGAACAATTATAACAAAAATATTTTTATCATATTTTAGGCTATCTGAATAAAATTAAATATACACATTTTTACAATTTGAATATCTGAATAAATTAAATATACACATTTTTACAATTTTATTTTTTTGAGTAATAATATTGCTACATTTTGAAAAGTATACAATAATTTTCAAAACGCTATACTCTAGCTAGAAATAATTGATGACTGCCGTTTCTCATCAAAAATATATTAAATATGAGTTGCAGAAGTATAATATTTCACTTGAAATACTCACAAGCAATTTATTTTCATAAAAATAACTACATGAAATTGACAAATTTGCAACATCCGTGCATGACTTCCGTGCGTGATCATTCATAAACTGCATTTAAACAATTGCTGTGACTCTATGATTCATAGTGCAATCCTGTAACTTTCTGGAAATCTTTACTAATGTTTAAAATACTATTTTAAAAAAAAAGTATACCAGTGAAACTTATATTGTCCGAGGAATTAAAGTTTATTTATCTAGTAACTAAAATAGTTTTTCTGTTTCGTGCGTGATTCCATTTCAAACTTTATTTATTCTTTGTTAACATTACTAATGCTTACTATTTTTTGTTTACAAAATATTTATATTGATTAGAATTAAATGAGAGTAAATTGGAGATCGCTAGTTTTATTTTTATGAAAATAAAAGAGTTTCCGTGCGTGATTTTTTGGAAATGCCCATATATATATATATATATATATATATATATATATATATATATATATATATATATATATATATATATATATATATATATATATATATATATATATATATATATATATGTATATATATATATATATATATATTTATATATATATATATATAAAATTTAAAGTTAAATAGAGGATATAATGTAATAGAGCATATAATGAAATAGTTATAACAATCGTTTGCTCTTAATACTTGAACAAAATTTTCGCAAGTATTTTTTAATCATGTTCAGGAGAATTTTTCTTATGAATAAAATAATATAAAATTTTGATTAAAAATAAATCTTTTTTTTTTTTTTTTTTTTTTGATAAATACTCAGCGTAGTTAAGGAGAGATCCAAAGAAAAGTATTGCATTTAGGCCCTTTCATATTCAAAAAAATCCCATTTCATTTTGCATGTGATTCTGATACGTTTATTTTTTTTAAATCACGAAGCTCATTGTTTTATTTTGTTTACAAATATTTGGTAATTTTATTATCTACAAATTTCAAGTTTTTTTACAATTGGGCAGAAGTTATTTAAAGGCTGAAACATTTTTTTTGCTAATTTATTTAAACAACTATGAGGAGATGATGGAAGCAATTTGCAATGAGTGAAAACTAATGTAAAAACTTTGATTTTAACATTTTCTCTGTTTACAGAAAGATAAAATATGAGGTTTTTAGCTATTTATTGAATATTTTAATGCTGTAAACCAGGAGACTTTTTACTTTCCAATAAAAGAAACACTTTTGGAATGTAAATACTTAACACATTTGTTTCAACTGTTTTTATGATGCTGCCCTGCCACATTTATTTATTTTAGTAGTAGTTTTGTTTTGTTTGATACTTTTGTTGAAAATAGGTTTATAAAAAAGTAATAACTTATATAAGAATAAAAAAAAAATAAGAAGAAAAACTTAAATTCTACTTTTTAAAAATATATAACAGTAATAGTCAAAAATATGCTTATATAAGCAGAATTATAAAAAATTGAAGTTTAAAAACGTAACTTTTTGTTTTTAAGAAATGTAAATCGTTTGGATCTCTCCTCAACTTCGCTGAGTAATTAAGATGTGTAATTGTTTTTTTTTTTTCTTTCTAAAAAAAAGAAATGAAACTCTTGGAAGTAGAATTTGCTATCATTGAACTTAGTTCATTACCTTAGTTCATTGAACTACCTTTGAACTATTATTAAACCTTTGTATAACTTTTTAGCTCGGTCAAGAATCTTTTTTTTAAACCAAATTTATTATTTTCTATTGAAAATATGTGTTAAAAATAGAACCAGTCAGTTTTTGAATAAAAAAATGTTTTTGAATAAAATACATTAATTGCTCATATTTATAATAGTCTGAACTGGCCAATCAAATTAGTTTATATTATCCAATTCATAGATATCCAATTATAGATGATCATATTTTAGTAATAAAAATAATATTTTAGTAATAGTGAGACATCTTATCTATCAGGTTGTACCAGAGATGAGAAGTCCTCAAAAGTTCTATGAATTTGAATGTCGCAAAATGATTATTTCTTTCTGGTTTTCGATACAAAAATGATAAGAGGTCTGTGGACTACTTTTGTAAAATAAATTAAGACTTTTTGGATAGAGATTGATCAAATTTTTAATATAATTATGTATAATGGCGGTAAGGACTCCAGGACTCCACGCTAAAAACAATAGGTTCCTAGTCATTAAATTTTATAAAAATTTTTCTTAATGCAGATCATAAGTCACTTAACATTTTTAGAGTTCCTGGACACCAAAGACCATGAAAAAATAGCGATTTAAAGCCAAAGTCATGTTGGGATTCTGCATCCCTGGGTTTTTTATTTTTTTATTACTTATTTCCTTTCAAAACAGTATCTTTTCATTATGTTTCCTGCTCATTTGTCACTCATTTTTCAGCCAATAGATGTTGGTGTTAACTGCCATGAAAAAATTCATTTGTTTATCAAAAGAATGTTTTTAACTGCAGACAAAAATTTTCAACTCTTAAGAGGTTTTTACATTAATGCAAAGTCACTGGACTTTAAAATACTGGTTTGTTTCTGCTTGATATTAATAAAATGGGTAATCAAAATTGCAAGTTGCTAGGAGATCTGAAACACTATTATCTTAACCTGACAGTTTATACTCTCTACAACTTGAAAAAAGAATTATTTTTTTTGTGAAAAATAAATATAATTAGAATTCTTGACTATTTCATTTAAGCTATTATTGACTATTTCGTTTATTATGTTTTTTTTATTATAAATTTTTTATTTTAAATTCATGAATTTAAAGTTATTACACTTTTCAAACATAAAACATGGTTTTTTACCAATTTAACAAATGGTAAAATACATTTAAAAATACATACAAATAATTTATTTTTTAACAACAATAACAATAATAAAATCTTTTTTAGCTCATCCAATCAGTGAAAACAGAAAAGTGTAAGTCTTTTGTCTTAATTAATAACTAATATATTATATATATATGTGTATATATATATATATATATATATATATATATATATATATATATATATATATGTATATATATATATATATATATATATATATATATATATATATATATATATATATATATATATATATATATATATATATATATATACAAATAGGGCTCAAAATAATGAACTTTTTTGTACCGAACAAATAAAATAGTCAGATAAAAAGTCAAATACATTCCTGACCACACATTAGATATTATGTTTTTACAACTTGAACATGCAATTTGTTTTGACAACTCTAGGCATTTCAAAATGTGCTTAAAAAAAAAAAAAAATTCTAAGATAAATTATCTAACAAAAAGAAAATATTAAAGAAAAAGAATAATCTAAGCTCAAAAAACTAAAATTTAAAAAGGAAAATATATTTACATTATGTTTTTTAAAAATTGCTATACTATGCGAAATGCTTTGTAAATTATTTAATGCATAAATTATTAAGTAAATATATATTAAATACATAAATTAAGAAATTATTAAATACATAATTAAATATATAATAAAAATGTATAATGAAAATACAAAATTATTAAATACATAAATTACTATGTGAATATATTAAATACATAAATTGTTAAGTTTACTTTTTACTTTATTAAATAAAGTAACAAATTAATTATAATGTTTTCAATAAACCCATTTTATTTAAATTATCAAAAAATATAATAGGTAATTACATTTATATAAATATGTATTTTTTTATAAATCTTTCCAAACTTTTTCTAGGATTAATTTTATAAACACTTTTAATAGCAAAAAATTTTAGCCCAAAAACAAATGTTATGTAGCAACTCAAATTTAATAGTGTAATTAGAAGTACTGGTTTCTATAAGCATTAAAATAACTATTACATTAAAATTTTTATAAAATAAATTTAAAAGAGGTTTTAAAAGCTAAAATATTTGATTGAAATTTATAAAAATCATCGAACAAAAAATAAAATAAATACTAAACTTTAACTTTAAATTAATAACTAATTGCAAAGTTTTAATATTAATGATAAAAACGGGTTACTTAATTCAAAAAAATTTAATTTTTTGGTATCTTTTAAAAAATGAATCAACTCAAAAAAATGACGTATTTTATTAACGTGGCCATGTGTTCAAATGTATTTTATTAACGTGGCCATGTGTTGTAAATCTATATTTTTATTGTCATTATGTATAATAACTATTGTATTAATTTTTGTTTATTATATCTGATCTTGCTGATCACAATAGATCAGCGAAGTATGGATTAATATATATTAAAATAAAATTAATATATATATTTTAAAAAAAGTTTGTACACAGCTGTATGACTTTTAAAAACTTTTTAAAATTTTTAGCTTATTGTTGATTCATAGGGTTATTACCTTGGATGCAAATAATTTTAGTGTTGATTTTTGAAGATATTTTGATTTATTTTACACCGCTAGGTTACCATAGGAGTGATATAAATTATAGAAAGGATGGTATTAGTAACTTTGTTAAAAGTAAACATTGGGGTTCACAGTGGCTTGTGAATTTCAACTCTAAAAAAACCCAGTTGCTTACTGCAAACAACTACCATAATATGGTCAACATTCCTATATTAATGAATGGCAATCCTCTTACTGAGTCCTTCTCTTTACGTCTTCTTGGATTATCATTTACTACTGATCTTTCATGGAAACCATATATACAATCGATTGCTAAATTAGCTTCTGCTAAGGTTGCTTCTCTTTATCGTGCTCGCCATTTCCTTACTACTGATTCCGTTCTCTACCTCTACAAATCTCTTATTCGTCCCTGTATGGAATACTGTTGTCATATTTGGGCTGGTTATTCTAACGATTCACTTTCTCTTCATGACAAGGTCCAAAAACGCATTGTAAATGTTGTTGGACCTGGACTATCTGTTAAGCGTGAACCTCTTTCCCATCATCATAAAGTTGCATCTCTTTCTCTTTTCTACAAATACTATCATGGTCACTGCTCAAAGGAGTTATCATCTCTAGTTCCATCAACTAAAATTTATTCTCGTTTTACTTGTCATTCAGCTAAGTCTCATTTGTTTACTGTATCTGTCCCTGCATGCTCTAAAAACTTTTATTCATCTAGTTTTTTTCCCCGCACTTCAATCCTTTGGAACTCTCTCCCATCTTCATGTTTTCCTGACTCATACAACATACAACTTTTCAAGTCTTCTGTCAACCGTTTCCTTGCTCTATAATTCTGTTCTTTTTTTTCCTAGTAACTCCCAACTTAATAGTGGTTGCTTGCAGCCTTGTTGGGAGTGAATGCAAATAAAAAAAAAAAATAAAAAAAGTGGCTCGAATTAATTGTTCGCGAATTGTAATATCTGGAAATGCTTCTGGTTTTTAAATTTTAAGCTTTTTAAAAACGGTAAACTTTGTTTTTATCCCTAAGCTCAATAGCTGTTAATCTTAAATTATGATATAAAATCATAAAATCATATTACTACTATTATTTTTGTTATTATTTTTATTATCATTAAAAATTAAGATTTAAACTTTAATATTTTTATAATTTATTTTATAAACCATGACTTGAAACTAGAAAAATAAAACATAGAGTACAATGTAATATTAAAAACAAACTAAAAATCACAACAGTTATAAAAAATAAGATATAAAATACTTTTATATCTTATTTAAATCTTATTCAATATTTTCTGATAAATGCTTGTAACTCTCTAGTAGATGTGTACACAAAGTTAAAGTATTTAAAAGAAATTTAAAAGTTAAACAAAGTTAAAGTAAATTTGGAGTTTAAAAATGTATAAAAATTAATTTAAACTTTTTATAGTTCTTTCAAAACAAAACAAAACAAAAAAAACTCTAATAACTTATTTTAAAATGTATCTTTTTTATTATTATCTTTATTATCAAATAATTAATTTCTTATTTAATTCATTTTAATTTTAAATAAATAATTTCCCAAAGTTTCCCTTAAAACAAAAATTCATTTTAATGTTTCATACAATTCGCAAATAGCTTTAGTATAATTTTTTTGTTGATTTTTAAATGATGGCACAAATTTTTCAGATCTTTGGTAACAATTGTTTATTTCCTATAACTTTTTTTGTTTATAATTCTTAAATTACCTGGTGTTTAAACAAACAATAATTTAAATTATTTAAGTTTTGACTGTTATTATTTTTGCAGTAATAAAGTTATGTTTTGACCTTTTTATTAAAACTGTGTATTTACGATTTTTTATAAGCTGAGAATTTATGAACAGAAATATTCCCAAATATTGCAGTTCGCCATCAATTAATTTGAACCTTAGTAAAATAAGTCACTATTTTCAGAGGGTTATTTTCAAAGTAGTATATCAAAACAATTAAAAATTATAATTTTCCTAGTTTCCTACTAAATTACCTATAAAAATGCTTTATGTGTGCAAGGCTCAACAAATCACAAAAGTTGTGGTAGAAAATGAGTTAGTACATCACATAAAGACAGATTTTTAAAGAATATAGTTAATAGTGAGACATACAACATCTGTAAGATTATAACAACTCTACAATAAAAACTCATACATACAACATCTGCAAGATTATAACAACTCTATAACAAAACTATAACAATTCTATGGAAAGGGGTATTACTTTTATTCCAAGAACAATTAGAAGAAGGTTTTGTTATGACTTTGGTTTAGTTGCAAGAAGACCAGCATAATTGCAAGCTAGAATTAAATTTTGTAAGAGTTTACAAAACAAGACACTAGAATAGTTAGAACGAATTATGTTTACAGACAAAAGTGCATTGCAAGAAATTAGAGGCACAATTTGAAGATTTATAATTTAGAAGGTTATAATTTGAAGATCTGTGGGAGAGAGCATGAATTCAAAGTATAAAAACAATCAAACATCCTCCTTCAGTTATGGTATGGGGAATAATCATAGCACAAAGGCAATATGGTTTGCAAGTTTTTAAAAAAAGAGATAAATGCACAAAATTTTTTTTAAACTTAAGCTAGAAAGAAAAAAAAAACTAAAGAAAAAAACAAACAATTCGTTACAAGAAAGAAAAAAAAAACTAAAGAAAAAAACAAACAATTCTTTACAAAAAAGAAAATATTTAAGCACTAAAATTAAAATTTATTTTTAGAAACATTTTGTTATGCAACATTTTATTAAAGTTATGCAAAATACTTTTACAAATTATTGTTGAATGAATGAACAAATTTTTATTTAAATTATTAAAAAGTGTCATATATATTATTTTTAGATTGTATAAACATCTATTTTTTCCATTAAAGTTGCAAAAACAAATAGTTTAAAAAAATATCATTGTCTTTTTAAAAAAGGAATTTTTAATCATTTATTTTTTTAATGTTTATTTCATGCTCTGATTAGTAAAGTCAAAATTTAAAAAAAAGTTTTGAACAATTCTTTGTAAAAATAGAAACAAAAAAAGTAAAACAACTAAATCATTTCGTTGCAATGGGAAGATTTAATTTAACTTATTCATAATTTAAAGTAACTTAAAAGAATAATCTTTTAAAAGGTTTTTAGAAAGATATGGAAAAATAGTTTCAAACGTTTAAATTTATCATAAAAAATACATGCCAACATAAAAAAAATTTTAATATAACATTTTTTGTTAATTTACTCACAGCTTGTTTATCTTAAACAGTTATTATAATTGATTTTTTATTTTATTTAAAAACTTTAAAAAAGATCATCGGTTAAAAGTTATTCATAGCATAACAATTTTTTTTATTGCATTTAAATTGTCAAATCATCAAATTAGGCATGGGCAAATTGTAAAGAAAAATATATATGTGTGTGGTCAATTACAGCATGCGATCGCACGCCATTCCTGCTCAAATCTGGAGGAGAAGTAAATTCGTAACAGTAGAGGTTAGAACAGCCGGATGTAAATTTTAATGGGTGTAAACTGTTTACTCATTTTTTAAATTAAATTGCCAGTAACAAAATCTTCGCCTACAGCATGTAAACTAAATTTGTATTTCTAAACAGAGTTCTTTCTATGATCAATCTAAAATACCAATAAAATGTAATAATGAATAAACTATGCTTATGTTGTTAAAAAACAACTTCAGAACTAAAAAATTACTAATTCATAAATTTGTTAATTACTAACATAAAGTTTAATTGCTACATTTATTAAAATATTATTGTCTAAAACAGGCTTGGGCAGGAATGGCATGCAATTGCTGACCGCGCAAACAATTTTTTTTGTTGACAACTTAACCACAAATGTTTTGATGATTTAAACATTTCAGAAATGCGCTGAAAAAAAAAAGCTAAACTTAAACTAGAAAAAAAACTGAACAATTCATTACAAAATTTTTAAATTATTGAAAAGAAAAAATATATATTTTTAAAATATATAAATATTAAAAAAGTTGCATAAAAATTTTTTTTTATGCATTTTTTTGACGTGGGACAGCAAGTTTTTCTTCCAATAATCGTAACAGTTTGTTATATACGCTATAGTAAATATATATAAATATATATGCAATCTTTTTTTTTAACTTTTTAAAATTAAGACATAAAATGATCATTTTAAAAAATTAACCCAAAATTATCAGTTGATGCGTGTAAACTGATAGTACCTATCCTTGTAAAAATTCATTATTACACTTCTCTTTAAAAATATCATTATTATGCATATCTCTAAAGACATTATTATCATGCTTATCTTTAAAAACATCATTATTATGCTTATCTCTAAAGACATCATTATCATGCTTATCTTTAAAAACATCATTATCATGCTTATCTTTAAAAACATCATTATCATGCTTATCTCTAGAGACATCATTATCATGCTTATCTTTAAAAACATCATTATCATACTTATCTCTAGAGACATTTATTAAATACAAACTTCACTGCAATAAAAAAGTAAATAAATTAGAATTAAAAATATATTATTGTATATGTCTATAAAGTTTTTTTAATTTTATATATCAACGGTTTTTAACACACAGTGACACAACGTAACACATTTTTTAGCATAAATTTTTGGAGCATTTTTAACATAACATATAACTTGCATTTTTAAAATACTTGATACATAATTTAACAACTTGTAATGCTTAACGAAAAACCTTTTATTCTATTGTAAGAGATTTTAAATATGTAAAAACAGCTTTATTTTTATTTATTTATTTTTTTTATTAATTTTTTTTTTTTAAGAATTTATTTTTTTTATATGAAAAACTGATTTTTATTTATTGTAGGATCGATTTAGGTTTTTCAAAGTTAGTCAGTAACATTAGGTAACAGTTTCATAACTTAACTTTTGGCTGTATATAATACTTTTAATAATAATAGCTAAAAAAAATTTTGATGTACACATTAATTTTTTTAGAAGTTCTTTATCAGCACCAAGCATCAGTCATCCTGTATTAAAGGACAATTTAGGTAATTGCATGGAATGTGATGAGGTAAAGTTTTTAAATTATTTGTAATTAGTATTTATAATTAGTTTTTTAATTGTTCTTTACTAAATAATACAGTGTAAAGCATAGTGTACTTTTTTTCTTAAATCAGTGTAAAGCTTATTATGTACTTTTTTTTTACAACACAGTGTAAAGCACAGTTTTTTACAACACTTTGTGTTTTTTAAAAGTTTTTCCACAAACTTTACCAAAGATTGGTTGTTATTCCAAATGCTCCACCAATAATTTCTTTTAGCTCAATTTTAATACGATATAATTTATTTAATTTTTTTTTAAGACACGGTCAATGATTAATGTTCTTAAAGAAGCGATTGGTGTTGCAGAAAAGTAGGTGTTTCAAAGTTTTAAAGGAAAAAAATTTTGGTTTTATGTATTACTTATATTTTTATTTATTTGTTTTGGTTTTTATGTCTTAATTTTCTGTAATTTATTGTTATTATTCAGTCTATCCACACTAAGATACGATTAAGTAAGTTAATTAATTTTTTATAGATATAGTAGAAAAAATATCTTTAGATGTTATTTGTCTGTCTGGTCAAACACACTTTGCTAAAAATTAAACAATAAAAATACAATCACCAGGTCATTTGATTGTTTTCAAATTGAGCTGTCCGTTTATACAATGTTATTTCCATCAATATCATACTAAAACCTATAATAAAATTCCTTTTTTTATTTTAGAACAGTATTCATATTACAATGTTTATCTTTAGTTTTATCAATTTAGTACTTAGTTTACAATACTTATCTTTAGTTTTATCAATTTAGTATTTAGTTTACAATGTTTATCTTTAGTTTTATCAATTTAGTGCTTAGTTTACAATGTTTATTTTTAGTTTTAGAACAGTGCTTAAGTAGTGGTAAAACTTATATAATTTTTGAAAATTTAGTAAATTTGTTCTGTAAATTAGTTTTAGATAATTTTGTTCTGTAAAAAGAATATAAAAACCTATGTAATGTTTTATTTTTTAACATTCGATAAAATATCAAAACTTTGTTTGGTTTTTGAATAAACTCACAGAAATAACTAACTAAAAAATGTAACGTTATTTTATAGCAATAATATAAAAAAAGTATGTATTCCTTTTGTTAAATATGTAATATAAAAATTGAGACCTTTTTTAAAGCTATAAAAACTCTTTTTAAACCTAATGTGAATTAAGACAACAAAATCACAAAATATTACATAAAATGTTTTTTTGTTTTTTTAAAAAAAGAAGGTATTGATAATGCATTTATCTATACTAAAGATATTTAAGACATATTTTAAGATTATTGAAGTTCATGAAGAGAATTTCACTAAGCTGATAAGCTTTGTTACATACAAAAATAAAATTAGAGTGTGATTTAGTATCTCGTTTAAAGCTATGTGGCGTAGCTTTATGGCAAAATATAAACATTTCACGCAAAAAAACAAATTTAGTGCTGAACAAGTTAAGTTTGAAAATATATTTAATAACAAAACCAGAGGTACAGAAAATCTCTTTTTGATTTTCATATGCATAAAAAGTTGAAGTTTAAATAAATTAAGTTACTCATCAAAAGTTTTATGTTTCATGTTTATAAATGATAAAGTTAAAATAAATAAATGCTTTAAAAAGTAACTTTGTGTAAAAAATCACCAGAGTAACTTAAGAATATGATAGAAGAGACATTTATTGACAAGTGTTACAAATTTCAACTACCAAGCTATGCTATCAAATCTTAGTTCAAGTTTTATGTAAAAATCACAAAAAAGACACACAAATAAAAATTTATCTTATGTGATTTGTGAAAATTGTTTTTTTTTTGTGCTGAACTGGTGACATAATGTCCAATTTTAGGTCACATGAATTAGCCATGTTGTCTTTAGTTTTACTTAGCTTTATGCTTATCTTTAGTATATACAATGATATATGTATATACTATATACATATATCATTGGTTATAAACCCTGTAAGGTATACTATATACATATATCATAATATAAACCCTGCAAGTTGAACCCTGTCTAACTTGCAGGGTTTTATTGGACAAAAAGTGAAGCCGCTTTTTTTGTTTATAAATTTAATCCCCTATTTGTAAAAAGAGAAAATATTATATAGTTAATGTTGTGGAAGCCATTTCTAATTAGGAAACGGACTTCACTTTTCGGATCTAGCTTAGGCATCTGGTGTATATAATATATCATTGGTTTTAACAGTACTTAGTAATTTTATTTATACATCTTATTGATGATGTTTGAAGTTATATTTATGATGTATTTGTAACGTTTGTGATGTTTAGTGAAATAAAAACACGTGACGAAGTCATAAAAAGTTTGAGTGATCAACTCAGGTATTTGTTTTCTTGTTTGCAAAATTTTTTAGAATTCCTAAAAAATGTTAAATTTTTTCAGAATTTTAAAATTTTTTTTATAAATTAAGAATTTTTTTGACAAAAGTTTTTCAAGAATTCTTAAACTTTTGTAAAATATTAAAAAATTTTATATTTTATTGAATGGTGATTTTGATGAAAGGGAATATGGCTTGATTAAAGGTGATCAATCTGGTTTTTTAAAAATTTTAAAAACTTATGGACTGTAGAATGTTAGCTATCATTCATTTTTTGGCTAGCACAGACTTTAATGGTACCAGAGGCTGACATTTATTTTTTGCCCTATTTGTAGCATTTTGGAAGGTTGAGATCCAACCAATTGAGACAGAGTTGAGGTTTGGAAGGATGTCATTTAAAGATACATGTCAAGTTAGATTAGATTGTATTTGGATCGGTTTTGGTCAATGTGTTTTTAGACATGATTTGCGAAGAAATAAAAAATGAAAATGCTGTGATCACTTAAGAGTTTTGCTTTAATAAAATCATTACCCTTGAAATCTAGATTGAAGTTGGAGATATGTCCAGTGCAACAAATAAGTGTATTTGTTAGAATAGTATCAAATGTAAGACAATTTATATGCCGTTGCTCAAGTTGGATTATTTGCCATAAATGGTATCTTACATAGTGGCATGATGTCGCGTTCATTAAAAAAAATTATAAAGAACTTAAAATGATTTAATGATTTTTGAAGTATTTCAAAAAAGTATAAAGAAATCTAAAAACCTAATCTAAAAACGTTTGGAATTCTTAAATATTCGTATAAAATTCAAATGATTTATAAAGAATTCTAAATATTTATAAAGAATTCTAAATACTTATAAAGAATTCAAATTATAAATATTTATATAGAGGTTTAAAAAATTTAAATTGATTTCTAAAAAGTTTATATAGATTTCTAAAAAATTTATATAGAATTCCAAAGAGTTGAAAAAAAATTCTAAAATGTTTATAAAGAGCTGAAAATTTATGAAATTATTAAAGGATGATTTTATAAAATCATTAAAAATTGATTTTTGAATATTTAGATTGTCTTCTTATGAATCAAAACCAGAAAAAAGGTTTGTTAATTTATTTTATGTTGATTATATTTTATATTGGTCTTTAACATTTAATAAAAATTGGTGTTCTGCCAATTAAAATTCTTTACCCAGCAGAACAATCAAAGTACTAATGATAAAACTATGCAGCTGCATATACTTACTTGAAAGTTAAGGAAAAGTTTATACCTTTCTTGTTGTTCATTACATTGTAATTAGAAGTGTGAATGTTGCAATTGTTTTTATGATGCAATTTTCTGATCCTTTTATCTAATTGAAGTTAACACCTTCGATTTTTCTAATAAAAAAACTCATGCATGGTTTTTGGTGAGGGTATGTTAAATTTATACATTGTTTTGCTTGTTTCAAATTTTTAATTTTTATAGTTTTTAGTTAAATTATTGTAGAGTTGCATTAATAGAATATTAGCATAGATAGAGCACTAAATGAAAGTAAATATTTACTTAATAAAGTTCTTCCATAAAGTGCTCTAGTCCTCCTAGGCTTTTGTTTCAGAGTTTTAGTATTATACCTTGTTCATTATAGTGGTTTGTTTGTTGTTTGGAAATAAACCTTTAAAAAGTTAGATTTTTTAAAACTTAAACTAATAAAATTTTCTACCATTTCTCTTTGACTGCTTGATCATTTCTCTAGCACTTTTAAATTTTTGCTTTGTGGATTTCTTAAAATGTTGCTTAAGATCTTCTAAAATAGGTTTTTCTGGGTATCTTAAAAAAGTTGTTTGTAGGCGTTTTAAAAAAGTGGTTTGTGGATCTCTTAAGCTGTTGTGGACTCTTAAAAAAGCTGTTTGTGGGTCTCTTAATAAAGCAGTTTGTGGGTCTTCTGAAAAAGTTGTTTGTGGAATTCCTAAAAAGGTTGTTTATAAATCTCTTAAAAGAACAGTTTGTGGATGTCTTTAAAAAGCAGTTTGTGGATATATTAAAAAAGCTGTTTGTGGGTTTCTTAAGAAAGCTGTTTGCGGATTACTTTAAATATTTGTTTGTGGATATCTTGAAAAAAAAAATTTATTTAATTTTGTAGCCGAACTGAAGAAGATAATTTAGATAAAGAAAACTACATTTATCAAGTAATTTTTATTTTTTATTTTAATTTAAACTTTAAAATTCTTTAATTTAAAATGATGTATTACTTAACATCAGTGTAATGCACAGGTATATCACTTAACATCAGTGTAATGCACAGATGTATTACGTAACATCAGTGTTATGCACAGATATATATTACTTAATATCAGTGTAACGCACAGATATATTACTTAACATCAGTGTTATGCACAGATATATTACTTAATATCAGTGTAATGCACAGATATATTACTTAACATCAGTGTTATGCACAGATATATTACTTAATATCAGTGTTATGCACAGATATATTACTTAATATCAGTGTAAAGTAGTATAAACATTTTTTATGTTAATGTAATAATTATAGTTTTTTATAAATTTTTTTTTTATTTTTCATTTATTTTTTGTTTTATCATTTATAATTTAGTTAACTGGGATGATAAGAAAACTTACAGATGAAATGAATAACTTAAAAATTATACTTGAGTGAGTTTTTATCTTGTTTCTAAAACTTATAAATATTCCGTAATAACACTGAACTTTTTTTTTAATAATTGGCCATCAAATTAGACATTTATACTAGGTTGATTTATTTTTTGTTTCTGTGACACTATTTTTACATGCAAGTGAACAACAGGACTGTCTAGTCAGGTAGACATGGGAAAGATTGTTCTATATATATTTGAAATTGTAGAGTTATTCAGTAAAAATCTAAAAAAGTTGATATCAAGATTAGTAAGGTTTGTTGAACAATAATCTCTATGTTTGAGGTGGAAGAAAACGTAATAAGCTATGATTTTTTTAAAATGTAATTCACCTTTCTAGCGCACAGAAGTTTGTGATAACAAACCTCTCTCAACTTTTTAACTCTGAAGTTCTAACCTTGACAAACAAGCCCACTGCACAGAGAAACAAGTTATGCGGGGTACTACCAGGGGCATGTTGGGGATTGAGCTTGGAACTTCTTTCTTATAATTTCTACCACTACCACATTATTTTATGTAACTGACTATAATATTGTGTATGTGGAAATGCGTTTTACCAAAAGAAAAAGAAAAAGCAAAATCCACAAGACAAACTCCTATTCGTCAGGGGTATGTCCTTGTAACAGATCTCATTGTCATGCTAGTCAATATTGCAAAAAAACCTCACTTCACTAAAATAGTAAAATATCTTAAATCCTAACTCTATTTTAGTACCGCTCCAACATTTTCAGTGATCTAGTAAGGTTAGTATATAGTTCCTGTGGGATATATACATATATATATATATATATATATATATATATATATATATATAATATATATATATATATATATATATATATATATATATATATATATATATATATATATATATATATTTGCAGTTGACACCAACTTGCTCCTAATTAAAAAATCACTTTAAAAACTTAACAAAAATATGAATCATAATCTAGCTAATGTTGCTCAATGGCTTCGCTCCAATAAATTATCCCTTAACTCTAAAAAAGCGGAAGTTATTATATTTAATATCAGATTAAGTGGGCAGAAAATAAATCCAGTTTACTCTATTTAATCACGGCTGTTTCAAAGTGAGCTTTATGGCTTCTTGTTTTTTTTAAAAAATAACCACTTAATAGGTGTTACTAAAACTTTTTAAATTATTTAAATATTAGAGATAATTTTGTTCTGTAAAAAGAATATAAACACCAATAAAATGTTTTGCCATATGACATTAAATAAATGATTGAAAACTTTCTTTGATTTTAGATAAAACCCGCCAAATGATGAGCTTGGCTAAATTTCAGTAATTTGTTGTCACTTTTTATCGAAAAAAATTTTTAAAAGTATATTTTAGATAATTATTATTAAATATACACATTGTAAAACCACTTTAACTTAAAAAGAAAATTATTTAAACTTGATTCTTAACTGAGACAATATTTATGTCAGTAAAGCAAATCGCTACTTTTTTAATCGTAAAATATTCAAAGTCACGTGATTGTTTTACAATGTAAACAAATATATACGCATAAAATAGACAAAATGTTGTAAACCAGCCAAGTTTGAAGACATATTTGGTAACATAGCTAGAGTTTGAAGGCATATTTGGTAACATAGCTAGAGTTTGAAGACATATTTGGTAACATAGCTAGAGGTATAAATAATTTTTGGATTTTCTTGTGTATAAAGGATTGAAAATTTGTTAATTTGGTAATCATTACAAAAAAATTATATTTTACATATAAAAGTTATAAAAACTAAAATATAAATGCATTAAAAACTAATTTTTGCTAAAAAAATTATTTACGATCACCAAAAATCAGATAGAATAGACATTCATGCATAAATGTTCCAAATTTCAACCATCAACCATCAACCATGCTATGTTATCAAATCTTGGTTGGCCTAAGACAGGTTTTTCGTAAAAATTGCCAAAAACACAAAAGTGATCCCAAATCATTTAAAATATTTTAACAATGTTTATTTTTATTTCGTCTAATGTAAATATTTATTAAACAATTTAAAAAAAAAAATATTTAAAACCTAAAAAACCATCCCCACCACCTAAATATTTTAACATATCTTTTACAAATATTCGCGGTCTACGAAGCAACTTTCCATCCGTTGAGTCTTACCTACTGCAAAATTCTCCATACTTGCTTGCACTCAGTGAAACAAATTTAAATTCTGCAATTCCTTCTTCAGATGTCAGTGTTGATGGGTACTATCCTTTGATTCGTAAAGACTCAAATAGTCACATGCTAGGTTTAGGGGTATACATACGCATTAATTCCCCTATTTGTCGTGAAATCAGGTTTGAATCCTTTGACCATTCTTTTATGTGCTTTTGTCTAGCACCTCTTCACTCTATCACCTTTCTCTTTGTTCTATGTCGTTCTCCTTCTTCCCATGATTGCACTCTCTTAGATGTTATCTCTGATCAAATTGACCATGCCCTCTCTCTTTACCCCTCTGCCAATATTGTTGTTGTTGGTGATTTTAATGCCCATCACACTGAATGGCTTGGCTCTAACACCACTGATCCTGCTGGCACTAAAGCCTTTAACTTCTGCGTTTCTCAATCTCTTACTCAGATAGTTAACTTTGTGACTCGTTTTCCTGACAACCCTAATCATTTACCTTCACTCCTTGACTTATGTCTTGTCTCTGACCCTAGCTTATGTTCAGTTTCTCCCTTTTCTCCCTTAGGTGGTTCTGACCATGCAATGATCTCTATAAATCTTTGTTCTCGTACTTTTTTTTTGGGCTCACCTTATCATCGCACCACCTACTACTACCCTAAAGCTGACTGGGATTCCTTTCGTGATTTTCTTCGTGATGGTCCTTGGGCTGATGTTTTTTCTCTCTCAGCTGACAAATGCGCCTCCTACGTAACCTCCTGGATTCAGGCTGGAATGGAAGCTTTTATTCCTTTGCGTCGGTTTCAAGTCAAGCCTTATTCTACTCCATGGTTTTCTCCTTCTTGTGCGGCTGCTATATCCAATTGCAATCATTTTTTTCATCTTTTTCAAAAGAACAACTCTCTTGAGAACAAACGGCTATTTATTATTGCAAGATCTCGATGTAAAAAGGTGCTTTCTGATGCTAAACTCCATTATTCTCAGTTCACTAAATTTCACATCTTATCACAGAAGTTAGGCTCTAAAGACTTTTGGAAAATCTTCAACAGCATTATTAACAAGGGTAGATCTAGCATTCCATCACTCATTCATGGGACTGATCTTATTACCTCTCCCAAGGATAAGACAGAACTATTTGCAAAGAACTTTTTTTCTAATTCCACTCTTGAATCTTATGGACATTCTCTTCCTTCCATTCCAGTCAAACAGGTTGACCCATTGTTAGACATTCAAATCACTCCGGCTTCTGTTGCTAAAGTCATATCTCAATTAAACTCGTCTATAGCTTGTGGTCCAGACAACATTCCTATCACAATCTTGCAGAATTGTTCTCCAGAACTTTCTTCAATTCTCTCTAAACTATTTAACAAGTGTTTGACTGAGTCTTGTTTTCCTGCTTGTTGAAAAATGGCATCTGTGGTCATAATATTCAAAAACTCTGGAGAAAATTCTGACCCCTCCAATTATCGTCCGATCAGTCTTCTTTCTGTTATTAGCAAGGTCTTTGAGTCTTTGATCAACAAATTCCTCACATTTCATCTTGAGTCAAATAAACTGCTGTCAGACAATCAATACGGTTTTCGATCCTCTCGCTCTACGGCCGATTTGCTAACTGCTGTAACTTAAAGATTTTATCGTGCATTAGATGGAGGCGGTGAGGCTAGGGCTATTGCTCTCGACATATCTAAAGCTTTCGACAAAGTTTGGCATGCTGGTCTTCTCCATAAGCTTGTTTCATATGGTGTTTCTGGGAAAGTTTTTGAGATTATCAAATCATTTCTTTCTAACCGGTTTATTAAAGTCATCCTTGAAGGCCAACACTCTTCTTTATTTCCAGTAACTTCTGGGGTTCCCCAAGGTTCCATCCTGGGCCCTGTTTTGTTTCTTATCTACATAAACGATGTTCCTGACAACCTTTCATCTAAAGTAGCCCTTTTTGCTGATGACTCAACTTTATACTCCTGTCTTAACAAAAAGTCTTCTCTTTTCGATCACCTAGACCAAGCAGCTGATCTTGAATCCGATCTCACTTCAGTAATAGATTGGGGTTCACAGTGGCTTGTGAATTTCAACTCTAAAAAAACCCAGTTGTTTACTGCAAACAACTACCGTAATATGGTCAACATTCCTATATTAATGAATAGCAATCCTCTTACTGAGTCGTCCTCTTTACGTCTTCTTGGATTATCGCTTACTACTGACCTTTCATGGAAACCATATATACAATCGATTGCTAAATTAGCTTCTGTTAAGGTTGCTTCTCTTTATTGTGCTCGCCATTTCCTTACTTCTGATTCCATTCTCTACCTCTACAAATCTCTTATTCGTCCCTGTATGGAATACTGTTGTCATATTTGGGCTGGTTCTTCTAACGATTCACTTTCTCTTCTTGACAAGGTCCAAAAACGCATTGTAAATGTTGTTGGACCTGGACTATCTGCTAAGCTTGAGCCTCTTTCCCATCGTGGTAAAGTTGCATCTCTTTCTCTTTTCTACAAATACTATCATGGTCACTGCTCAAAGGAGTTATCAACTCTAGTTCCATCAACTAAAATTCCTTCTCGTTTTACTCGTCATTCAGCTAAGTCTCATTCGTTTACTGTATCTGTCCCTGCATGCTCTAAAAACTTTTATTCATCTAGTTTTTTTCCCCACACTTCAATCCTTTGGAACTCTCTCCCATCTTCATGTGTTCCTGACTCATACAACCTTCAACTTTTCAAGTCTTCTGTCAACCGTTTCCTTGCTCTATAACTCTGTTCTTTTTTTTTTCCTAGTAACTCTCAACTTAATAGTGGTTGCTTGCAGCCTTGTTGGGAGTGAATGCAAATCATTCACTCCCAACAAGGCTGCAAAAAGGTTAAATAAAAGGTTAACTCATTCGCTACCAGAAAACTTCTGGTAGCGAATGAGTTAACCTTTTAAAAGTTTACTTAACAGCATTTATTTGCTGAACTTTTCATTGGGTACAAATATTCTTGACATTTTTATTTAATTATGCGAGAATATATTTAATGAAATTTGTTCTGTAAAAAATGTATTGCTTATTTCATTTTTAAATTAAAAAAAGTGTAGCTGCGACACATTAACAATATTAATCACCACCCATCTTGAGTTAGTGCTTTAAAACATTAATTATTGCTTTAGTTAACAAAAAAGCTGTCTGTAAATTTGTTAAGTGTAAATTCTATAAATATTTATTAACTAAAAATTAAACACTTTGGCAAATATCTCTAATAAATGATGTTGTTTACCAAAAATAATTTATCAATTAAAAATTTAAGAATTTGTCATTTCGATAGGAGACAAAATTGTTGTAGCAATAAACGGCTTAGATAAACTAGAAAAAAAGTTCACATTGTTGATATATATAAAAAAAAAAGATTCAGAAAATAACAAGGTGATCAACATCATTTTTATATATTTATTATATTTAAGAGCGTATCATAAAAATAATGATTTTATTAGGTTTTCGCGCTCAATAAAAAAAAAAATTTTGTTTAGCTTATTATAAAATTTAAATCAAAGTCATATGACTAATAATTAAGGTTTATTTTAAAAAAGGAATAAAACAAATAATACTAATTCAAATAAAAAAAACTTTGTTTTAAAAAAAAAAAATCTATGATGACTCTATTTTTTATTTAAAGTCTTTAAATTGTGTGAGCTTATTCAGCTATCAAGTTGCCTATTTGTTTGGAACCAAAATCATAATAACCTGCCTCTTACATTCATCAACTTTTTTAATTATAGGGAAAATTGTAACTATATTCTACGATCTGCTTTCAACTTTAAATTATCTGTACCTACATATCGAACTGTTCAGTATGACTATGAATCCATTCAACACAAAAGCATACAAAGCTCCCTTCCCAACTAAAGTCTCTTAAATCATTCTCAAAATTTAAAACTGCTTTCTTTAACTATTTTTTAGAAAAATATTGTTTATAAATCTTATACCTTTTTACAACTTATTAATTATAACCCTAACTTGGAGCTTCTATGCATTTATTATTTTTTCTCTTTTCTATTGTGATATATTACTAATTTTAATATCATTTATTAAATTTATAATTTTAAACTAAAGTGTTTCAATAGTATTTTCTTTATCACTTATGTTGTTATTATTACTATATTTTTATCATAATGAATACTATTGTTGTTGTTGTTATTATTGTTGTTATTATTATTATAACTAGTTTTATACTATTCTTTTTATATTATTATTTTTGTTGTTATTATTATTATTATTATTATTATTATTATTGTTATTATATAATATACTTTTTATAATCTACTATTATTTTTAATTACTATAATCACTGCTATTATTCCTACTTGTATTATAGTTATTATTATTATTATCTCCATTATATATATAATGGAGATAAAATATAAAAATCTAAAAAGAAAATATCATTTTTTTATACTTACCATGTGTGGTGTTCAGCTTGATATTGTTTTGGAGGTCTGGTTCTAAGTACGAGTTATAGAGTTATTTCATTTCTTCATTTAATTTCTTGTAGATATCTTTCTAGTTATCCACTTTATGGTTTCACAAATCTTATAAATGTTTTATTTTTCCTTTTTAGTTTTGTATATTGTTGATTTGAATGTCACCTTGTTTTAATAATAATAGAATCTGTATATTAGGTTAAATAGTAATAACAATATTAGTATTAACAATAACAATTATAATAATAATAATAATAGCAACAATAATAATAATAATAATAATAATAATAATAACAAATATGATATAATAATAATAATAATTTTAAGAATATAATAATAATAGCAATAACAATATAACAATAACAATAATAATAATAACATTGATATAGGTAATAATAATGTAAATATTAGTAAACAAAATAATACTAATGTTAATAACATAATATAACATAATAATAATGTTATATACTAGTTACTAATAGATAGTAATTAGTATATTAATAAATAGTATATAAATAATTAATACTAATAAGCAATAATAATGATAATAGATTATATTTGTAAGATAGTAAAAATATAGACTGTATTTTTTTTTTATTAAAAAATGGCAAGATTGAAAGTGAATAGAGTGCTTTTAGTTAATGAAGAAGGTTGTTCCAAAATACCATATTAAAAGAAGTTTTAATATGGTATTTTGTGTATTTATGTCAATAAATATTAGAGTGGTGTTTTAAAACAGACAGCTTTAAAGTACTATTGGATCAAAGATATTAACAAGATTTTGATGAAAGCTTTTGTGTTTGTTGGTATAAGCATGTTATTAGATTTTGTTTCATCATCTTCTTCATCAGCTTTACTGCTAATTTTTAACAATGGGATAAAAAAGGAAGAATAAAATCAATTTTAATAGCAATACCACTGCAAAACAGATGCAATAGGTTGGAAAGAAATTTTAGGCTTGTTGGTTTTGGTTCGAGCCAGGAGTGTTTTATTTCTTTACTCTCACTTAACATCATTTGTGATTCTTTTATAATCTTTTAAAAGAAAAAATTTAAGTGCTAGTTAGACCTCACCTTAAGTTTGTTCTATGAAATCCTACTTTGTATGAAATATCCTACTTTGTATGAAATCCTACTTTGTATGAAATATTCTACTTTGTATGTATAAAATCCTACTTTGAAAGGTGACATTGAAACACTAGAAAAAGTCCAATGTTGTGCAAACAAACTGGAACAAAATCTCAAACATCTGTATTATGAGGAACGACTATCCAAAATGAAATTGGCTCAGTTGGATACTAGGTGTTTGTGCAGCAATCTCATACAAAAGTACAAATTATTGAACAATATAAATCACATTACATGGCTTAAATCACAATAATTTGCACCGTCATTACAAGCAAACAGACCAGCCTCAGTAATATAAGGTCATAATCTAAAAATTGAAAAAGAAAATGTCAAGCATTCTTTATCTAGACAACGGTTCTTCAGTAACTGTATGGAATGCATTACCAATCCGCATGGTAAATGCGGGGTCTTTGAACTCCTTTAAAGCAAGACTTGTATAACCATATGTATTTTGTGGTTCAACTTGCTGCAACATCTATATTACTATTATTATTACTATTACTAAATTATTGTTGTTGGATGCATGTTCTATTCTGTGTAGAGTTCTTTTTTGAGTGGTCTCAGGTGTGGGGGTAATATATTCTTGTTAAATTTTGTAATAATTTTTTATGTACTGTGTTGGTTGTTTTGGATAAAACCCAACGTGTTTGTCTCTTTGTTTTGATAAGATGCAGTCTAATTTGTTAGTGATCATTCCATCTATTTTTTTTTTAATCATTAGCTGATTAAAATTCCTGTTCTTTGAATAGTGTAAAGAAAAATCCATTCTTCTAGAAAGTTATAGTGAAGGTGATATAGTATTGTCTGTGGTTAGTTAAATTTAGGTAGTCAATTGTGTGGTGTTTAGGTAGTCAATTGTGTGGTGTTGGGTGTAGCCTAATCTTGGGCTGTTACACTTCTCATAAATACATGGTTTCATTCATACATTCATTATAAAACAGAATGAATAGTATTAGAATAGTAAAACAGAAAGAATAAAGGTCAATATGTTTATTATAATTATAATGTGCAAATTATAATGCATTTACATTAAAACTGTAACCTTTCAAAAAAAAGTATTTTTTTATTATAAAATGTACTGAAAATCTTTTAAGGCTGATTCTATAAAGTATTTTTTTGTATCTCTTTTTTAGGTTATATGATTAAATATAATTTGTTATTTTTTGGGTGCGGTATTCATGACTAAATAAATAATGGTGTTGGTTATAACATAAAAATATATAACAGTTTTAAAAATCCAAATCAATTTTTCAGAGAGAAAAATAACCGATGCTGTGAACTAGCAGAAAAAGAGCTTGTTTTTAAAGAAATGATTCAAGCAAAAGATAATTCGATTGTTGAATTAGCAAATAAGGTATTCTTTATAGGATCTAGGTTTTACTTGAAAATGTTCTCTATTTTTTGCAAAAAAGATATTTTTGATTTAGGTGTTTTTATTGGAACAGCAACTAGAAAATGCAACAGAGTTAATTGTAGTTGAAGAGTCACCAGCTGAGTTGTAAGTTTCTTTAACAAAGTTTAAAAAAAATTCTTATTCTAAAAAAACATAATTAAAAAAAAGCAGACAAAAAGAGACAAATAAAAACTTTGAATAATGACAAAGACAATTGATTAATAACAGACAATTAATTAATGACAGGCACGATTGATTAATAACAGACACAATTGATTAATGACAGATACTAAATTGATTAATGACAGATACTATTGATTAATAACAGACAATTGATTAATGACAGACAATTGATTAATGACAGACATAATTGATTAATGACAGACATAATTGATTAATAACAGACAATTGATTAATGACAGACATAATTGATTAATGACAGAGACAAAAAAAAGACTGATTAATGATTAAAAAAATAAAGAAAAAAATATAAGTAAAAATAATTTATTTTCTTACTAGTAATGCCATATTTTCACGAATTGCAAAGGTGATTTTCACAATGTGGCATTACTATGGTGATTTTGCATCGTATTGTGTATAGTGATGTTATTGTTTTGATTGTTTATTAAATTATTATTTTGCAGTTTTTACATTTTATATTATGTTATTGTTAATTACAACAAAATATCTTTATGCTGTTGTGCAAAGTTGTGTAATGGTGTAATTTAGTAAAAATATTCTGAAGCAGTGCTATGGGATGCTAAATGGTTGAGCATTTAATTGATGATCAAATTAAAAATATTTAGATTATATTTAAATATAAGCATTTAAAGCAGATAAAGTCACAAAAAAATGAAAAAATAATGAAATTAAAAGGTTTATGATTGCAAAAATGAATAGATTAATTTAAGGTTGCAAAAGATAGTGAAAAAGAATTCAAGTAAATGATTAAATTCTTTTTTATGTTAACATTCTTATTTTTAAATAAATACATAACCAATAATATATACAACATAAAGTTTATTGCTAGAAACAAAATGTTTACTATATATAGTCAAACTGATCGAGAAGCTGATTACATGCAATCAATTACATGTTTTCTATGGGTGTTATGTGTGCTATATATAAATTGTGTTATCTATGCATCTAATATGTGAGTTGTGTGTTATCTATGCATCTGATATGTAAGTTGTGTGTTTTATATGCATCTAATATGTGAGTTGTGTGTTATTTATGTTATGAGTTTGTGTTTTATCTATGACTATTATGAAGTGTACATATTAAGTGTGTTATATCTGTGTGCATGTATATATAGGTTAACAATGATGAAAGAGGAACAACTAAGTTATATTCAGTTAAAGGTAAACTTTTTAATGATCCCTTATTATTATTAGTAAGTAAATATATGTTTTTGATAGATTAATTTAAAAAGTTTTTAATTTATATATTGATCCTGTTTTATTTGTATATATAAATAATTTTCTTTTGTTTGAAGCTATTAAAATTGTGATATTTTATAATCAAATTACGCAAATAAATTCACAGTTTAAAATATTAAAATATAAATTGCAACCCTCGGAATTAGGGTTGGCATTCGGCAATGCCGACCTAACTGCCGACCTGAAAGTGTTTGAGGTTGGCAAATATTGCCGACGTTGTTTCTATGTTTTATGGTCAGACCTTTGTATCAAATAATTTTTGCCGACCTGATGCCAACCTCAAAAAGATTGAGTTTGGCAAATTATTGCCGACCTCATTTTTCCTAATTCCGAGGGTTGAAATTGTATATTTTGTTGCAATTATTTTTAAACATACTTTAGGAGTCATGTGTTGCAATTCGTTCTCAGAATAATTTCTTAAACAGTGAAATTTTGGAATTAAACAAACTTCGTAAAAAAGATACAGAGATAATCAACACTTTAAGCAAGTATGTAACAGAATCTGTTTTATTTTTTAATTTATATTTTTTATTATATATTTTATATTTATTATTACTAAATACGTTATATATATATATATATATATATATATATATATATATATATATATATATATTAGGGTGTCCCAAAATGACATGAATTTTTTTAGTTTTTAACTATTTCTAGATTTTCAAACAGTTTCATATGTATTTTTATTTACTAAAAGCAAAAAAAAAAAAAAAAATCAAAAAATTTTCATATTTGACCCCCCCGCCGCTCTTTTTTTTGTGTTTTTTTTCTAAAAAAATGACACAAAGGACTAAAATTATTTTTGATAATCAACTATGTTCGTATTTTATATAATTTTCTTGTGTAATTTTGTTTGATAAAACATAATCAATAGTTATTTTCAAAAAAAAATTCATATTTGACCCCTCCCCCCTCATAACCCCTTTAATGTGTTTTTGCCCTAAAACAATCCTTAATATACTCCTTTTATATATCTATTATTTATATCCAATATAATTAACTGTTATTATAATTTCAAATAGTTTTGTAATAAATAAAAATGAAAATTTATTAAAAATAAATTTTCACCTGGTTTATGACCTTCCCCCCCCCCCCCCATCCTTTCTAATATTACCTTTGTCGTATGATTTTTTTCTGCTTAAATAAGGAATTTTATAAATTATAATTTTTAATTAAAACAAAAAATTTGATAAATACTCAATTATTAAACAAAGAAGGATAGAAATGATTGGTATAAGTTAACAATATTAAAGCACAATGGGAATAAGTACTAAGAAGTTCAAAATCTCATTTTTTTTAAATTATAACAACAAAATAACAATATTTTAAAGGTATAATAAAAAAGAGATTTTTTAAAGCATATTTTCAAAAATTAAGTTTTTGAATTGCTTGTTTATTTATGTGAGGAAGAACTTTTCGGTGGTGTTCTACTGCACGTAAAAGAAATTCTTTCTGCTCATCATCTTTTGTAATAGATGTTGCATAGTCTTGAATTAGTTTTACAGCTCGTTCTGCTGTATCGTTTACAGATTTCAGTGATTTGATATGCTCAAACATGTGATTAAAATTTGTGTTAGTTTTCCAAAACTTTCTATTCTATAGAAAGTTTTGGAAAACTAACACAAATTTTGTATAACACAAATGACACAAATGGGATTCTACCAACCAACCGCCATCCTCATTTGAATATCCGAATAAATTTAGAATGTTACTTGATTTTGGTCCAATTAAATCAGTCAAACAAGTACTCTGCTTCAGAAGAGGAAATTGTGGAAAGCCTATATCATGTTCACAGTTTTCTTTTATATTTTTCAGAATTATTTTAGCCATTTTAGTTTTATCTCGATCAGATACCTTATCAGAAAATAATGAAAGAGGGGACATTTCTTCAGTTAAATACCAAAGATGCCGATTAAATGTTTCCAGGGCAGCAACAGCAACATCATTGTCAATTTTTTTATAAATAAGCATTTCTTTGTAGAATTCCAGGTCATTAAATGGAGCATCGACTGTGCTTGTGCACGTAAGCCATATTTTCACATAAAATAGTAAAGTAAATTTACAAAACCTTGACAATTTCTCTATAAAACTTTCTTCATACTCTGCCAGGTCAGCAAAAGCAAACATCTTTGATGTGTACAAGATTGTACACATCCATCTAGCATGATGGAAGGCTCCAGGTTTGTGCCACTGTATATTTATTTGTTTTGGATTGAGTAATTGCAAAGCAAGTTGACAACATTCTCGATAATCATCTCTTAATATTTTTCGAGATTTCCGGTTAAGTAAACCAGACAAAAAAATTATTACTTCTGCTTTTTTGGTCTTTAATACTGGTTCTTCGATCTTTATTTTTCTAAAAGTAGTATCTGAAGTTAATGAAAGCTTAGGCCATACCTCATTTTTAAAGTGTCTAAATGGCTCATAATTTGGAGATCTGCATTCTCCAAAAACTTTGAAGTAAACAGATGACAAAACTCTTTCAAAAATATGGTGTCGGCAGGCACACCAAAGTAACTTTTTGTTAAAGTGTTCTTCAATTAACTTTGCAGAACCATTTATCCAACCTGAATTTGATGGAGTTGTGTCAAAAATCATTGCCACAAGTGTTTTTTCCAGTTTCCATGTCTTTACAGCATCTATGGTAGCTGTTGCCTGACTTCGCCCAGTTGTATCAGGAATCCTGGATACACACAACAATTTCCCTTCAGGTGCACTTGGTTTTCCTGTTACAACAATAGCCAAACGTTCCACTTTACCATCGACCTCAGATACCAGCTTTGAATCCCAGTGAATGGAAGAGTACATGGGTGAAATGAATGTTTTCTTAAGATCATTTGAAACTTGCTGTCGAATTTTATTACCTGATCTGTACGCTGTGCTTTTTGAGATAGATATTTCATCTAAATTGTGACCTAATGCTTCAGCTACAGCTAAAATGATTCCAGATCTTTCTCTGTTGGATAGATTCAACCTATCAGCCATTAAGGAAACTTTAGGGTTTTCTAATATCTTGATTTTTTTTTTCTGTCTAGCAATAGTACTTTCTTCATTTTTATTATGAGTTTTGCCTTCATTATCAAATGCTGCCAATACATTGAAGCTTTTTTCTTTTATGTTTTCTTTTCTAGATTTCTCTTTTTCAATAGCCTTGATTTTATTTTTCTCTTTTTCCTCCATTCTTTTCACTTTCATAGCATAACTCTTGTCTAATGGGCCCAAAAATTGCTTTTTTAAGTGACGTTGATCTGAGAGAAAGTCTATATCTGAGATCTGACTATTGATACTACGCAAGGTATCTTTTCTTATCAAATTTTCGGCATTTGATGCTGCAATATCAAACAATAATGATAGTTTATTAGTAAAACTCAGAAGTTGAGCTGCATAACTTTTTTTTTTTGCATTTTTAATCAAGTTCTCTCTAAGATGAATCAGATGTAGTATCATTCTGACAATATCTTTCTTCTGTTTTATTGGAATTCCTGCCATTTTCCAAAAAACATAAACTTTTTCCCAAACTACAGATGCAACTTCTTTTTTACCAGTTAATTTCAATTCAAATCTTGTAAGATAAAGATAATGGCGTACAACATCTCCATTTGTTGGTAGCTGACTATACATCTTTGCTTCAAGGGTAGGTAATAATTTACCAACAATATTATCAAACTTCTCATCATTTTTCCTCAATTTACTATTTCTCATAACTGATCAAATATTTTTTATATATGCTATTATATCTATAGATAAAAAAGTAGCTATAAATTATAAAATTATTTGAATAATGTATGTAACATTAATATTCATCATAAAAAATTTTCTCATCTCAAGCATTGAATAATAATATTTAATAATTTTTGAGAATCGTTGAATTGAAACAAATTATGTTTACTAATATTAGCTATGATACATAGTTTAGAATTATAATAGTGATCAATATTGATACAAAACATATTTAATACATTTATATATTTAGCCTAAAATCAGTTTAAAAGTGAATAATTTTGAAAAAGTGGGCGGCAGAGGGGGTAAAAACTTTAAAAGAAGGGCGGGGGGGTCAAACTTCAAAATTTTTCAAAAATCTTCTTATTTTCACTTTTAACGGACAAAACTACATACAAAACTAAAGGAAAAAAAAAATTTTTTTTTTTTGGGACACCCTAATATATATATATATGTATATATATATATATATATATATATATATATATATATATATATATATATATATATATATATATATATATATATATATATATATATATATATACTATTCTTAAGTAATTAAAAGTAGTATAGAAATGTGTTAAAAATTTATCAAAAAGTTAAATAAATTTATGTAAGTTTGTTTTAAATTTCAAAAATATAATAATATTATTATACATTTAAAAAAATAAATTTTTTGTAAATTTTTAATATTAAATATTTAATAATGGTTAATCAATATTTAAAAGTGGATTATTTGTGTATCAATTATTTATTTAAAGTATTTAAAGTAATAATAATGTAAAGATAATCAAAAATTAACTATGTTAATATTATAATATAATAAAAATACAAGGTCAATAAAAAAAAAGGTCACAATTAAATTTTTTTACTTAAATTAATTCTAAAACTTAATATTAAAATAAAGAATTTTTGCAATTTACTTTATCATCAATACATTTTTAGAAAGTTCTTTTTTATCAGTAAACTTCTTATCATGTTACTTAGTTTCATTTATATATTTATTATTTATATATTTATTATTTATATATTTATTATTTGTATATTCATTATTTATATTTTTTAATAAATTAAAAAAAGAAATTTTTTGTTACAAAAGAGAAAAACAATCAGGAATTTGGTTTGTGACTTTTCTTCTTTTGATCAAGAAAATGATTTATTAAATATTTTTTCTTCATAGTTCTTGATGGTGTTGAACTTGTTGGCTTAATTGAGAATCCTATTTGTAATGCATAAATAATTCTAATTATTTCTAATTTGTAATGCATAAATATTTCTAATTTTTTCTACTTTGTAATGCATAAATATTTCTAATTATTTCTAATTTGTAATGCATAAATAATTCTAATTATTTCTAATTTTTGATACATAAATAATTCTAATTATTTCTAATTTGTGATGCATAAATAATTCTAATTATTTCTAATTTGTGATGCATAAATAATTCTAATTATTTATAATTTGTGATGCATAAATAATTCTAATTATTTATAATTTGTGATACATAAATAATTCTAATTATTTCTAATTTTTGATACATAAATAATTCTAATTATTTCTAATTTGTAATGCATAAATAATTCTAATTATTTATAATTTGTGATACATAAATAATTCTAATTATTTCTAATTTGTGATGCATAAATAATTCTAATTATTTCTAATTTGTGATGCATAGATAATTCTAATTATTTCTAATTTGTAATGCATATTCATTCTAAATTTGTTAGTCAAAATTAATTTTAGTATAACATCAATTTAAATGTAAATAATATAACATCAATTTATATTAAAAATGAATGCACACACAGAGTTCATATTTAAAATAGAATTTTCAAATTTCTTTCATAACAAAATTCTCCGATAGAATTTGTAACTAGTTTTCAACCACCAGTTTTTCAATTGCTTTTGTTTTGTTTTTTTAGAGAAAATGTTGAGAAGGAAGCCGAGCTATTAAAGTTAAAAAGTCGCTATTTATGGTTGTTAAAAGAATTCTCATCACCCAAAAAAGGTTTTTTATTTTATTATTTCAATTTATTTGCATTTAAATAAAAATATAAAAAGGTGATACAGGTGATTGGAGAATTACTCTTAGGTAACACCAAGTTTAAAACAGCAAACAATGTCTCTGAATATTGTATGTTTTTAAATTCGATTTAAATAGAGACAATGAAGAGGAATACACCAAATAATCAGGTAAAGAATTCCATATCTTAGTCACTCTTTCACTGAAAAAAAATCTCCTTATATCATTGATGTAGTTGTTATGTAACGTTAATTTTTGGGAATGACATCTAGTTGAATAATGAGTAGGAGTGAGAGTAAAAAACTCAGAAAAAGGCAAATCAATGAAGTTGTGCATAATTTTATTAGTCATTAAAAGATCAAATTTTATTCTTCGGTATTTAAGAGAGTCAAGATTGAAGATATCAAGTCTTAAAGCATAATCTTTATATAGAATACAACACCGTTTGCAGACAATTCTTGTATAATGTTAAATATCCCAATATCTTGGATTTAATCAATTGATTCAATAGGCGTGTCGATATCCAATAAGTATGAGTGTTCTGGTAATAGATTCTTTCCCTATCACAGGTGAAAACACTTTTTGGTAGATATATTGAGTTGACAATTATTTGACCATTCTGAAATTCTCTTTAAAGTATTTACAAGGTTGATATTATTTCTGTCTTTTCTCGCTTGATATAACACTCTGTCGTCTGCAAAATGCTTGATTCCACAATCCCCCTCAATACACGAGGTTATATCGTTTATAAAAATTAAAAATAGAATTGGTCCCAAAACAGTTCCTTGAGGTGTTCCACTTTTTACATGAATGCTGTTTGAGTATGAATCATTAATACAAACACGTTGAGAATGATTTGTCAAGAAGTTTGTAACCCAATTTAGCAACTCATACTTGATACCGTAACAACGCAGTTAAAATAGTAACTTAGAGTGAGACACAGTATTGAAGGCTTTCCTAAAGTCTCTATAGGTGATATCAACTATCTTTTTATTATTAACAGCAGTGGTCCACTCATTTAATGTTGTCAACATCTGTGTACATGAGGATCTACATTTTAAGAAACCTTACTAATGCACAGAAATGAAATTATTCAGGAGTAAATAACTTGTAACGCTTTCCGTGATAATTGATTCCATAATTTTACAGACAATACATGTCATAGAAGTAGGTCTATAATTTGTGGATAACGACAAGTTTCCTTTTTTAAATATTGGACATATTATTGCGGTTTTCCAGATCCTAGGGATAACATTTTCAGAAAAAGGAATAGCAATAACATTTACTTTTAGAAAAAGGAATAGCAACATTTGCAAGTGACTTTAAAAATATGGCAGGATATCCATCAGGGGATTTGGAAGATTTGGGTGGAAGCTTTTGTAGATGAGAAACAACAGAATTGTACAAAAATATAATAAAATTTAAAGAATTTTTGTTTTTTGGTAAATCAAAGACTGGTGCAATACCATTGTCAGTAACAAAAACAGAGCCAAAAAAATTGTTCAAAAGCTGCGATTTTTCACAATCATCTGTAATAAGAAAACTATCAGTTTGAAGTAATGGCGCAACAGAATTATAGCATTTGGATTTTTTATTTACAAAAGAGTAAAACTTGGCGATATTGGATTTAACAACTAAATCTTTCTCTCTGGAAATTGCAATTTTTTTGAACTTCTGCATCATATAAACGGGAGCAGATCTTGAATTTGACAAGAGATGGATTACCTGTTCTTTTGTAATCTCTATAGAGAGTTCGTTTTTCGGAGGCTAATTTTCAGATGGCTAGAGGTTAGATTTTTTTTTTTCTATTAAAAGTTAATGGTACATGCAATGAGATAGATGAATTTAAAAAATTACAGATAGTTTGCCAGAATGTTTCAATATCTTGATTTTGTTTGGCTAGTAAATACCAGTTTACATTTTGTAAATCGGAAATTATAGAGTTGTAAAGAGTAGCTTTGAAAATATTATACTTGGTCATTTTTTTATATGGTTTATATTTCTTCAAATTACAATTGAAAATAATCATGCAGTGGTTGCAGGTACTTGTGAATGGGGCAATAGTTCTATATTAAAAGCATTTTTAGAGTTGTTGGTTTGTATCAGATCTAGAAGGTTGTTAAGACGAATATTGTCGGATACAAGTTTAAAAATTTTTTTAATTAAAATTTTTATCATATAAATTTATGCTCTTAGTAATTTCAACAATGTAACTATTATTATGTTTACTTGTTTATGAAACCAAAAATAAGCTATGGGAACTAAAAAACAATGTGCTACAGTAATTTTCACGATGTGATAATGAGTATTTTGTATAGTGATGTGATTGTTTTGATAATTTTTATTTTGTTTATTTATTATTTTGTTGTTACCTTAGTTGTATATTACATAACTGTTAATAACAACAAAATATCTTTGTGTTGTTGTGCAAAATTTAGTAAAGATACTTTGAAGCGGTTCAATTTTTATAGACAAATCTGCAGATTCTGAATTGGCTGCTGAAATGGTTGAGCATTTAATTGATGATGCAATCAATGAAAATCAAGACAAAGATGACCTTAACTCGAATGCAAAGTATTTTTTTTAATTTTGAAATACTTTTAGTGACATTAACTAATGTAATTTTTTTAAAGTTTTTTTTTTTAATTTTTTTAAAATCAAGGAAAATTGTGCTGAGTATTTTGAAAATAAAGTTGATAAAAATTTTATTTAAAAAGTTAAAATTAAACAAAAAATGAAGAAACTTTTGAAATATCGCACTGCAATGCATCGCATCGCACTGCATCGCACAAAGAAATACAAAAGTATTTCATGAATATTTTCTTTAAATTTTTTTTTATCAATTCTTCAAGTTCCATACTTCTGTAAAGTGTTTATTATGCTGACACAGCTTAATAATTTAGTGGGGCCTTTATTATGCGGACACAGCCTAATATTTTTTCCTGCTTCAATAGTTTATTTTTGTGCTTTAATTTTTAGAGAGAAATAAAAAAGGCAAAAAAAAATAAAGTTTACTGTAATAGATACATAATTCCTCTGCAAATCAGAATGTCTACAAAACTGTCAGATGGTGAATTGGTTTTTCTTATACTGATCTCTTTTAACTAACACTAAAATGTTTATACTTTTAGGTTTGCTGACAGATATGGTTTTTATAATTTATATGAAAATGACGAAGAATCTTTGGAAAACCTTGCTGATCATCTTGATGCATTATCATCTTATAAAAAGGTTGATTTTTTGTCATCGTATAAAATAGTTTACTTTTTTGAATTATATTGAATTATATTGATAAACCTGAATGAGTTTTTAAAATATCTGTTTTTCTATTGAATTTAAAACAATATATAAGGAATAATGAAAATTTAGAATAAAAATAATTTTAGATTGATGCCTCTGATGTTTCAGTTGGAGTAAAGTGGGAAAATTTTATGGTTGCACACAGAACCAACTCTCTCACTAGAACAGTAAGCTATTTTTGTATTCAAAGAGATAAAATATAACTTGAAAGATAAAAGATATAAAAGATAATACTAATAATTATAATTATATGATATAATATCAATAATAGTTAACTAAATTAAAATTTTTTAATAGCGTTTATTATATTTTAAATGCTATTATAAAATTGTTTTTAGTTTAAAAAAGTTAATTAACATAATAAATATGATAAGTAAATATAGCAAGTAAATATTGCAAAATTATTCATAAAAGTAACAAAATGTAAGTACTTTAATAACAAATATTTTAACAAATAAAAATAATATAAATATTTAGATATTTCTATACTTAATAAACAACTATTATACATTATTTAGTAATTTTATATATTGAATTTATTATATCTATAATAGATTTTCAAATATTCAATATTTAAAATATGTAAATTGAAATTTTATTTACAATAAGGAAGAATTAAAAAATCTTGTCCGGTGTGGTATTCCTCATGAATACAGAGCTAAAGTATGGGGAGAGTTAGTGAATATACAAGTAGGCTCAACTCGTAATTTGTTAGGTGTTGGTTATTATGCAACATTGTTAACAGAAAAAAAAGGCATCTACACTCCTTCTGCAAAACAAATTGAGCTTGATTTGTTAAGAACTCTTCCCAACAACAGATTTTACGATAAAATAGAAGCAGAAGGTGTAAGTTTTAAATATTAAATTTTAATTTATGTCATTTTAGAATTTATTTTAAATATTTAATAACTTCAATTTTTTTTGTTGTTTTTTTTTTTTTGTTGTTGTTTTTTTTTCGTTTTTTAATATTATTGTTATTGCTTCTTTTTTTTTATTATTTTGAGGTTTTTTGACTATAATCAATTTTTCCTTAGACAACTAAACTTCGTCGAATTTTATTGGCTTACAGTTGGCATAATCCTACAGTTGGTTATTGTCAGGTTATTTTTTTGTGCTTGTTGATTTTGTTGAAAACCATGTTGTTAATTTTAACCTTTTTTTTTTAATTCAAATTGCAGTTATACCCCTTTTTTTGGTTTAACTACTCTAAAAACAAACTTTAAATATAAATACTTATAATTTTTATTTATAAAAAAAAAAGACAAATACTTTAAATTTTTTACCTCTTGCTTATAAAGTTTGCACTACATGTTTTGATATACTGCCTTAATATAATGCTTTGATATGCTGTATTAGTATAATCTATCACTACATTACTGCTGCATCGATATACATATATAGTGTATTCTTTTAAAAAATCAACCCAATGTGTAACCATAATGATAAATGTTTACCTTTATGAGACTTGTAACTTTTAATTAGAGTTTTTTGAATAATAGTATATAGTGTTTTATGAGCTTATTTTAAATATTCTTTTTTTAGGGTTTAAATCGACTTGGTGCAATTGCTCTTCTCTATCTGGACGAAGAAAGTGCTTTTTGGTTCTCTTTATACTTTATTTATTTCTGTTATATTTTACGTGTTTTTTGTTTGTTTTAATTGCATATTTACACCCAAAAAGCTACAAGCATAAAAAGCTACAAGCATAGAAAGCTACAAGCATAGAAAGCTACAAGCATAAAAAGCTACAAGCATAGAAAGCTACAAGCATAGAAAGCTACAAGCATAGAAAGCTACAAGCATAGAAAGCTACAAGCATAAAAAGCTACAAGCATAGAAAGCTACAAGCATAGAAAGCTACAAGCATAGAAAGCTACAAGCATAAAAAGCTACAAGCATAAAAAGCTACAAGCATAAAAAGCTACAAGCATAGAAAGCTACAAGCATAGAAATCAGCACGATTAAGACACGAAAAGTTGTATGTTGGTTGTTGATTTTCTCTGTTGATTTTCTAAAACATTTGAAAAAAAAATTCTTAATAAAATACAAAGTTTATATTTTGTTGGTATATTGCATCGTACAATTTTTTTTCTACTTAATTTTTTTTTTCTTGCAAATATTAAATGCTTATTTCATAGTTTATCATTGTACAAAGCTTAAAAGTATTTTAGGTCTTATAGGCTTGGTTTTTGAGAATAAAAATTGAAAGAAGTCTTTTTTTTTTTGTTTTTTTGTTTACCAGTCAATGTTTTGTTTGCAGTCATTTCTTAACTTATTATCTTTTGTACAAATTATGTAAATGTAACCTAGGGTTTTTGATGATCTTTTTGATGGATCTTGGCTTATGTCTCTTTTTAATGGATCTTGGCTTATGTCTCTTTTTAAAAATTTATTTTGTTATCTCCTAATGAGAGTACAGTTTTCAAAAACAATTTTAATGGTTTCAACAGCTAAAAAGCAATTTTAATGGTTTCAACAGCTAAAAAGCAATTTTAATAGTTTCAACAGCCAAAAAGCAATTTTAATGGTTTCAACAGCTAAAAAGTAATAAAGTAGAAGCAAAAATGTGTCTTTGTTGGTGTTTTTGGTGGGCATTGTACATGCTATATTGAGAGTGTTTGACTTTAAAAATGGTTTTATCAATAAACTTATTAATAAGCATACTAGATATTTATTCATCTATATTATTCATCTCTCGCATGGTTCTGATCTTATTACCTCTGCCAAAGTTAAAGCATAATTATCATAATTATAATTTAAATCATCTCTTAAATCTAACAAGCACAATTTTTGTCATCTCAAAGAAACAAGTAAATTCATTGTTAGACATGCAATTATGCTTCAACTGCTATTTTAATTTCAACTCCTTTATCGCTTGTGTTTTTGACAACATTTCTGCAAGTCTTATAAAAGTGTTCTCTCTATGTAAAAGTACAAAAGTGTTCTCTCTATGTATAAGTAGAAAAGTGTTCTCTCTATGTGAAAATACGAAAGTGTTGTCTCTATATTAAATTACAAAAGTGTTCTCTCTATGTAAAAGTGTTCTCTCTATGTAAAAGTGTTCTCTCTATGTAAATGTGTTTAAACAAATGTGTTCTCTCTATGTAAAAGTGTTCTCTCTATGTAAATGTGTTTAAACAAATGTGTTCTCTCTATGTAAAAGTACAAATGTGTTCTCTCTGTGTAAAAATACAAAAAAACTATTATTCGTTATCTTAAAAAAACTAAAACACTTAAAAGAACACAAACTTAAAATGCAGCTGTTCATTCAAAGCGCTGTAGATTGATTTCGATTTTTAGAAAAAATTAGTTATTATTGACGATGAATCGTATTTTTATTTGAGCAACACCAATATTTCCAGAAATACTGGATTCTATTTCTTTGACATAAATTCAAAAGTTAAAAAGAAAAGACAAATTTGAGCCAAAATTACTTGTTTGGATTGCATTCTTGACAAAAGGAATCCCTCAGCAGTACATTGCTCCGTCAAGCCAAGCAGTCAATGAAGATGTGTCTATTTCAAAATGTCTTGTTAGATAAGAGAAATTAATTGAAAACATCATAAAAATGACAATATTGTCTTTTGATCTAGCTTTATTTTGCTTGATCTAGCTTATTATATCAAATTATTTGCGTAAAGTGCAAGGTTATCTAAAGGCTAAAATTATTAAATTTGTACCGAAAGAGCATAACCTTGCTAATGTGCCAGAATTTTTAAACCTTTTTTGGGTGATAAGAATTCTTTTAACAACCATAAATAGCGACTTTTTAACTTTAATAGCTCGGCTTCTATCTCAACATTTTCTCTAAAAAAACAAAACAAAAGCAATTGAAAAACGGGTGGTTGAAAACTAGTTACAAATTCTATCGGAGAATTTTGTTATGAAAGAAATTTGAAAATTCTATTTTTAATATGAGCTCTGTGTGTGCATTCATTTTTAATATAAATTCACATGTACATTTAAATTGATGTTATACTAAAATTAATTTTGACTAACAAATTTAGAATAAATATGCATTACAAATTAGAAATAATTCGAATTATTTATGCATTATAAATTAGAAATAATTAGAATTATTTATGCATTACAAATTAGAAATAATTAGAATTATTTATGCATTACATTAGGATTCTCAAATAACATAGGAAGACTTTAAACTTTTTGGTTCTAAGCTAAAACTCTAACGACTGCGCCACGCGTGTAGTAGGTTTAGTGTGTAATGTATGCCAAAAGTTTTTTTTTTAAGTTTTTTAGAATTTTACTTGAAATATTAAAGTTCCCATAGCAATTTTTTTTAGAGTTTGATTAAAAATGATAAAAGGCTCATAAAAGTATGATATTTGATAATAAATAATATAGTATATTAATAAAAAGACTAAAGTCATAGACATTATTGTTCCTATGTTATTTCATCTGACATTGTTGTTCCCATGTTATTACATCTGACATTATCATTCTTATGTTATTTTGAGACTTTTTCAAAGAGTTGAGAAAGAGTTGTAACCACATTTAAAGAAGCCTCCTCGACTGTAGTGGCCTTTTCGTCTTTGGGGAGGTGAATGAAAAATAATAGTAATAATAAAAAAAAAGTGTAGCCACCAGACCTATATTGACTTAGAAAGATGTTGTTCATACATCCACGTCCTTGGTAGTACCGCGCTCAACTCGTTTCTCCGCGCAGCAGCCTTGTTCGTCAAACTTCGTGTTTCGGAGTTATAGAGTTGAGAGAGGGTTATAACCACAAAATAAGTAGCCTCCTCGTCTGTAGTGGCCTTTTCGGCCTTGAGGAGGTGAAGTAAAATTAAAAAAAATTTAAAAAAAAAAAACTGAGGTTTTTGGTTTTTGACAGTTTATTTATTTTAAATTTTTAAACTTTATTCTGTGTTATTTCCTAAGCAAATACCCTAGCTTTTAGAATCCCTTTTTTAAATTTAATTTTCATTTAACAACTATTGAATGCTAATGACAGTCAGTACTTTTGGGATAGCTTTGCAAGGTTATTGCAGATGGCGGTTGTGTTTTTTTAACCGTTGAAATGGAAAAAGGAGTTAATTATCAATTGTTTAAAATAAAGAATTCAAAAATATCAAAATAAAAGAAGATTTAAACAAAAAAATGTATTATAAAAAAATAAACTTTTAACAAATAAACACTCAAAAATAACATTTAAAAAAACAAATAAAAGAAAATTCGAACATGGATTTTTACTTAACAAAAAAAGAAAAATAAAAGGAAAAAAAAAAAATTAAAAAAAGATAAGTTGATAAGTTAACAAGAAGATAAGAAGAGAAGATCAGTTTCTTAAAAGAGTAGATAATTTTTATAGTTTTTATTTGTATCTATTATTTTTTTATCTTATTTTAAATATTACATTTTTATTTTTATACACCAACGGAATCCTCTTGTGGTGGTACATTATTATATTTATAAAAAAACTAATATACAAACGAAGAGATGATTTAATGATTTATACACCTGATTGTTTAGAATCCACATTTGTTGAAGTTATTTTTTCTAAAAAGTCTAATATTATTGTTGATTGCATCTATAGACACCCTTGCATGGATATTAATATTTTTATAATATCATGTCTGTCTTACTTCAAAAAATATCTTCTGAAAATAAATCTGTTTTCTTACTTGGTGATTATAATACTGATCTGATGCAATCAAATAATGACATTGCGACAACTGATTTTTTAAACTTATTTTCTTTTTATAATATTTGCCCTTTTATTACTTTGCCGACTAGAATTACTGATCACTCTGCTACAATTATTAAAAATATTTTCTCTAGTTTAATAAATTGTTTCAAGAAATTTGACGTCTGTTTCTGATCACTTACCTCAATTTTGTATTTGTCCCAATTTCAATAAATTATTTATACCACGCAGACACAATTTATATAGCAGGATTTTTAAAAACTTTAATAAAGAAAACTTTAAATCTGATTTATCAAAAATTGACTGGGATGATATTACAAAGTCCAATGATACTAACACATGTTTCCAAACGTTTATTACTGAAACAACATTGATTTTAGATCGCTACGCCTCGCTTAAAAATAAGTATCAAAAATATCAAACGTTGATTCAAACCATAAATTACAAAAGGAATTATAAAATCTTTTCAAGTGCACAATCTTTTCCCACAAAAAATGTTAAGATCTAAAGATCTTATTAATAAAAAAAATTTGAAAGTATTTTTAAAAGATATAAATATATGATAGTTACATTAATTAAACTTGGTAAAAAAAATCATTTTAAAAAATTTCTCTCAGAAAATTTTGAAAATCTTTGCAAACTTTGGAAAGGTATTAACACTCTAATTAATGTAAAAAATTTGAATAAATCTTCTCCCAACTGTTTGCGAGAAAATGATACATACACAACTGACTCAACTCTAATCTCTGAATCATTTAACACTTTTTTTACAAATGTTGTTCATAAACTCAAATCTAATATTCATTAATCTTACATTGACAAAAATATCGTAAACATCAAAATTTACATCTCCAATAAATATTCCTGAAATTTCATCTCTTATATCTAAATTGAATTCAAAAACATCATTAGGTCCAAACAGCATTTCCATAAATA